GTTTTTTTTGTTTTCTTCCAGCAGTGAAAAAGCTCTCGGCTTGAGCTCTTGAGTCCGGGACATTACCTTACTTTTGCTTCCAGTATGCGGACAATGCTTTCATTTAGCTTTCTAGAAAATAGGATGTGGTGATTCAAGGTGCTGGAAGAAGTGAAGCACAGAGAATGGAGAAAAGCTAGAGGTGTCACGGCCTGGGGTGTGCACGTTTTTTTTTATTTTTCTTGAGTAATTCCAACGCTGCTACATGGAGTGATATTTCTCCTTTAGAGATTCACGTTGATTTGGATGAACAGTGCCATCATTTTACTGCTCATGCATTCTCATTTTTACGCCAGCATTTTGATAGCATTTCTAGTTCAGTCAATAGCATTTTAATAGTATTAATTGCAAGTGTTAAATTTATGCATTCCAATTTTATTTCAACGCTTTGCATTGCATGTTTGACTCCAAAGTTGCTTTCTTATTTCAGATAACGCCGTGTGCATTTAATTATAAAATTGGTTCAAGCACTTGATTTTTTTAGAAAAGCATTTTCTTTGATTTGTCTTTTAATTTGTTTTAGCTCTTAAAAAAAAAAAGTCTCTTTACATTTTGTTGATGCTTAAATCGGTGGTGATTTTGTTTTACAATTTCCAAGTTTTATTCCAATGTGCATTTAATTTGTCAGCTCACCGTTGCATGATTACAGCTTGAATTGTGTTTGGGTATTTATCTGTTGAAATTTCCATTTTAATGTTTTTATTCATGTTCGGTTGTGTCTAATTTCCAGTTTTAATTTTAGTTCATCTGCATTCACAAAAACTCTTCACCAACCCCCCTACGTGTTGATCGAAGACTGAACCCAAATTGGTCCTTGAGAGACGACCTAGGAGTCAAATCCTAGCACTATACTGCATTCTTTTATGCACAACTTTTGTTGGGAGGTGCGACCCTCTCATCAATGATCACACAGAAGTAAACATATTAATGTTTATTATATATTGCAGGGCCATTACTTCCATTTGCCAAAGAGACATGTTAGTAAAGGACACGTGAAATCTATAACGTTCTAAACTAGCTTGACTTTAAATAAAACAAAAAAACAATGTATGAAAGGTGTGGAAACATATTTGATTTAAGAAAATAAGTCCAATTCTACAAAGTAACATGTTATGAAACAATTTTGAATTAAAAAGGGTTGACTTCAGGATGGTAAAGGCACGTTGAAGTTATATTTCAACACTTTGTTGTTTTCTTGTAAAAATTCAGTTATTATTTATAAAAACACAATTAATCATGTTCCTTGAGTTTTGTTTAAATGTAACTTGAGGTTCATTGCTAACACCTAGAGCCTAAGCTCATCAGACTTTAGTATAATTATTCAATGACTGCTTGAATGAATCCTTACATTAAGATCATAACTCTATAACTAGCTAAAGCCTTATATATATTCCTAGTATCTAAAAGCGGGATGAGAATTAGTTCAACCACAACATGGAACTAGTTCCCACTCAATCCAAAGCTATTGACGAGTGATTAGTTCATCCAACAACAAGCACAAACTAATTCATAAACATGTATTAAAAGCATACTTTGATAAATAAAAGATTATGAATACAAAAGACTTCCAAAGGGTTAGTAAATATTAAAAGCATTAGTGAATATTAAAGATAAATCCATCGGTAATTACCGACAAACAAATATCTCAGTAAAATATCGCGATTTGGTTTATCTTCTTTCCCCGCTCTCCTTCTTCTTCTTCCTTTTATTTTAATCTAAGGTCTACACCATTTTTTTTCTCGAACCAAAACCCTAACAATTAGGTTCCTGCTCGTGCAAGGTCATTCTTTCTCTTTCCAAAGTGCAAAAATATTCTTCCTTTCTCTTCTCTTTTGTGACTGACAATGCAAGAGAAGTGCCACTCCTTCAAGGTTTCTAGGTGGTCTGCAAGGAGGAAGAGAGGTTGGTTCAGAGCATCCTCGTGGCGGTGGGGATCACAGAGTCTACTCCTTCGAAGCAACCTACGATAGTGGATGCCGATGTTCAAATCTGGTTGCACTTGAGTGCTAAATGTCATGACGACTGAATGCAATGGTGCTCGCGGTGGTGCGTTTGGGGATGGAGAAATTGTTTGGCGGTTGTTGAAATTTATTGGTTTGAAAGAGAAGAAGAAAGTTTTCTCTCACAAATGAAGAAACATACAAGGGAGAGAGAATAAATAACCCTATCTCACAGAAATAGAGGAATTATGCATTATTGACGGAATTTACTGACAAATTTTCCATTAATAATGTATATTTTATTTAATGAAAAATTTTACTGACAGATGTTTTCGTCGGTATGTGAAATAATGGGCGAAAAATTTCCACTCTTTTTTTACCAACAAATTAAACTGTCAATAAAAAGCCGTATAAATTACCGACAAAAAAAATTCGTCAGTAAGATCCGTATACATTTCCGTTAAATTTACAGACATAAAAATTTGTCGATAAAATCAATTAGTAAATAAAATTTTCAAATCTGCTAGTAATACAAATTTATCAATGGATTTATTTCTATCGGTAAAATTCAATTGATAATTTCAAAGGCTTTTATAGTGACAAGGAATAATTATTAATAGAGAGAACAAATAAAATTCACAAGGATATGACTTCACAAAATGAAGGATTTACAAAAGATTTCTCACTCCTAGTGTTTGTGTTGATTGGATGATATCTTAACCAAATATGCTATGTTTTTAAGACTTTTGTAAACACACAAATTTGTTTTTCTTGTGTACCAAAATTGTTTCTTTTTCTTTTATGTTTCTCTCACTCTTCTTTTTTACATTCCTTTTCATTTTATATAGCTTTAAAAACATGATCGTTTGAAGTTTTTGAAACAATAACAATTGATCTTTTAAAACATTATATCAAAGTTACATTATCAAATAGGATCTTCAACAACATCTTTTATATTGACTTGGTTTTTTTTATCACCTTTAACCTATTTATAAAATTTTGATTTTGATTGTGTTATAATCAATAATAAGATTGGGATCATAGCAAAGAATTCAAACTTTTCTCCTTTAGTTTACACAAACTTCAAGGCTTTAATCAATAATCATAAAGATTGAACATGAAAACATATGGTATTTGGATAAATATTTATTTCAAAAATATGATATTTTATCTTCTAATAAGGACTCACGAAATTTTGTTTTATTTTTGCACTAAAATAATATGAGGGTGCATATTTTTTCTTAGACTCCCATAAAATTTATATCCCCATTCTATCCTTTAATTAACTTATATTAAAAACCTTAATTACCTATTCTCCACCATTGTTTCTCTTTCTTCTTCCATGAGCACAACACCACACCTTTGTGTTAGGTCTTCACTATTCTCCCTCACCCTTGAAGAAGATCTTCCTTAGTTTTCTCCTTCACCATCTTCTTCTCATTCGTCCATCAGAATTCTCATTCTCCTTATTCTATCATCATTCTCCTTCTCTTTCTTCCATCATCGCGCATGTATCCTCGCATCTCTCTTATTCTTCCACATTTTGTAAATTTCTTTTCAAGAAAAAAAATAATATAAACAATTCCTCTCCTTAATGAATTTAACTTACATTTTAACTAAACAAAAGTTAAAAAAAAGGTCATAGATGAGAAAAACAAAAATAAGAAGAAAGGCCAAGTCATGTATTTATAATTTTTTTTTAGAGATACGTTCCCAAACACCTAATCCGAAAGGTATTTCCAGATTTGAAAATGATTCTTGAAACATCATTATGGATTTTGTTTTTGTATTTCAGTATGAATGTTTAAGAAGATATTATCAAATCCAAAAATATATTATGAACTTGCAAATACATTTCGAAATATAAAAAAAGTTTCCAAAATTGATGTTTCGGAAGTTATTTCCAGATCTGGAAATATATTTCAGAACACCTGTTTCGATTTTTTTTTTATATTTTGGATTAAATGTTCTGAAATGTGTTTTTAATCGGAAAATACATTTCAAAAAAACTCAATTTCGAATAAAAAAAATACTCAATCCAAAAAATATTAAAAGAAAGTAGTTTGAGTGTTACAACTTTTATGGAACTGCAGGAAGTAAAAAGGAGTGCAGAAAAAAAAGGAGAGAATGCATGCAGGAAGACCCTAATATGAATGCCTCGACTGTTTTTTATATTTTAGAGATTTTAAACCGAGTTTAACATATTTTCTATAAATATTTTTTACTGAGATTACTTTACAGAATAAAATTATAAACGTTAAAGTAAAATTTAATATATTTTTTTTGTTTTTATTTGAGCATGATAATGACAATATTCCAAATGCATTCCCAAGGGAGGAGGACAATGTGCATCACCATGTGTTGAATGCAAAACACACAAGGAAGAACCACCACCGCTGCAGAGTGTAAAAGAAGGTCAGTGAAAAGTTAGGATTAAAGTAAATAAGCCATAAGGTTATTACGGAAACTTCCCACATTAAAGATTGGGTGCAAGAAAAAATTGATGGGGTGCAGGAAGCACTACTCTAGAAATTTTACACCTAGCTAAACATATTTTCTATAATTTTTTTATTGAACATTATTTAGTAGGTTATTTTAAAGAATAAAACTAAAAATGTTAAAGTAAAATTTAATATTTTTTCATTTAAGCATGATAATGGTATACTTTTAATTTTTAACTTTTAATTATGTTAATGGAATAATTTAAATAATATAAATATATAATTACAATTTTAATAATGTTTTTGCTAATTTTATTATCATCTATACACCTTTATTAGGTCAGTAATTTAAATCATACAAATTTAGAGAATTTAAAATCTTCCAATGTTTAAGGAATTTAATTAATACAATTAAAAATTTATTCTTAATAATTGTAATAATACAGATATAAAGTGTAATTATAGTCAAGGATACGAGTTATAAATATTCTTGTATTTTATTTCTACAAATAAAATAAATTTATAAGTTAAAATTTAGATAAAGGTAATTCTACAAATAAAAGAGGTACTGAAACTGAAAGCTCAATCAATCCATTGCAATAGTCTAATTTCAACCAATTCACAGAAACGCTTTACTTTACGTACTAAAACCCTTGGTATTCTTTTCGCTGAACGCGTAAAACCCTTCCAACCCAACAAGAAAACGGCTGCAGCAAGAAAACGAATGCACTTACGCTATACGGCTTTCGCGCCAGCGAGCTCACCCGTTGCTTGTTGCTAACGCGCCCTTTCATAGTCAAATTCTTTCGCGGTCCAAAGTCAAGTCTCATGCATTGCTTGTTGGTACGGGGAACTAAGGGACAAAGGGGCCAGTTTCCATAGACCAGTGAGTAGAGCTGACTCGATTGTGACCATGGCGAAAGTCACTTCCAGAGATGTTCAAGAGATTGTCGAAAAACTCTCATCCGATAAAGTCAAAGCTCGCGAAGTCATTTTCCTTTCTCAAACTCTCTACTTTCCTTCTCTCGCTAATCATTTTGAATGGGAACAGAACCTTTCTTGTTCCTGTTAATGTTATGCATGCAGCGATAAATTGACTTTAGTGTCGTCGATATTCTAGTTTTCCATCAAGAAATCTGTCTACGGAATGCCTGATTGTTCCATTAATTTGAACTAGAGTAGTAGAGAAGGATTTTCTAATCAACTTGTTATTATTTATAGTTTTTCTCTTTCAGTTCTATTTCTGCAAAAATTGCAACATTCTGGATTGAAAAATGTTTATAAGCTACAATTTTAATTAAGGTTCACCGAAATGATGTTTCAGTTCTGATAGCTGAAAAATGTTTAATATTGATTACACATTTTTTTTTGTGTGATTGTGTCGGGTGATATTTATTCATTGTATATATTCTCTCTTTTGTATAAGGACTGTGTTATTCTAATTTGTGGCATTGTTGTTGAATGTCAACAGGAAGGGATTAAGTTGCTAAACACTTGGTTAGAAGGAGAAAGGTCATATAGCTTCTGTAAATTTATTGGACTGAATACTGCAAAGCTTAGACCAGATGAAATTCCTCACAGTAAGATTCGTTTTTAAGTTAATTTTGCTAGCATTGGTGGATGCAATATTTTTAATAGTACCGAAGCCATGATATATGGTGTACACTTTTGATTGATTTGTTTATTTTGAAATTTTGTGGCGCAGCTGAAACATGGCCTTTTCTTGTTTCTTTACTTATTAAATCTGCATCAGCAGAAATATCCTCAAGTAAGCGGAAAAATCCAAAAGTGATATATGCAAAGACTCTTAGAATTGCTGTTCAACGTGCGGAGGATGCCAAGTGTTCAGGTCGGTTGGAGGCAGTTTTGTTTGGAACATGTTTGTTCTTTTCTCCCCTCTTGATTTTAAAAAATAATAGTTAGGAAAATTCAAATCAGGAACTCCAACTAATACTTTTATATAAAGAAGTGTTATCCGAATGTTGTGTGTCTAATGTGCACCACAAAGTATGTATCCATACCAATTTACAAAATCAAATACATTAAATTCTTGCCTAATTATCAGGGATCAATGATCCTAGTGTCCTAGAATTTGTAACAGCTAATGGCTAACAAATCTGTAATAATTAATGACTAATTACATTCTAACACTCCCCCTCAAGTTGCAACATGTATGTCTTATGCACTAAGCTTGTTACAAATGTTCTATTGATACACAAATACAATATTTTTCTTATATTTCATTAAGAATGAATTCTATGGGAACAAATAAAAATTTTCAAGGATTCATTAACATGAAAATTTTAATCAGGGAGCTATCAGCCAGCGCACTAATATTTCAGGGACCAATATGGGTATTTACTCAGTTTTTATTACTTGTATGGAAATAACATGGTTATGCATCACTTAATAATTGTTTGACACTCTTGAGGCTTTATTTTGATATATTTTTGGTAATAACCTTCTTAATACTCTACAAAGAAAAATATGGGAATTAATCTTATATTTACTAGTACACTTTGCTTCTTTTAATTATTTGTTTTTCTTTTTACTTTTTAGGAAAATTTTTACCGTTGTCATCTGTAGTTAAACTGCTTTTTAATCATGTTTGGGATGTCCTGAGCAATGTTCTAAGCTTTCAGTCTGAATATGGCGTTATTCTTCGGCATCTATTGTCTGTTAGGGATTATAGTTTCCAGATGAGGAGGCGTGTTTACTGCAGTAAGTGTTTTGTAAACTTATGGCTTACATTATCTCCACATCTCATCAACAATACCGTTTTAATCTCCTCACCCTCTTAATCAAATTGTTTTGGACAGATCTGGTGTTTCTGTTCATTGAGAAAGTTGAAATAAGCTTGAGTGGAAAAAATATTGGCAATAGTTCCAAGGAGGAGGTCTTCCGTTATATCTTGACACTTCATTCTCTTCTAAAATTTCCCCCTGGAGACTACCCTGATAATGTTAGAGAAAGCATTGTTAAGGGTTTTGTTAGAATATGTTCATTCATCAGGTATTTCCACTGTGATTCATTGATTTTTTTTTTCTATTATTCTTTTCTGCTATAGTGCAATACCATTTCTTTTTTACTCTTTCAGGGATGAGAGCAAGATGGCACGTAAACTTGTTGAGTGTATAAATACATATTTATTGAATGATGGTCCAAATTTAGGCATAGAGTTGCTCGAAATTCATAATGCCCTGCAGCAGTTTGTGTTCCACTGTTGGCTGGCGACACATGATCGAGTTCTTAAGGTCTCTTGCAATTGCTTTTTAAAGGAAATAGCTGCTTAAGTTATAGATTATTTTCAAATTTTTTCAAACTATTCTATTGATGTTTCTGCTGCAGGATTCACTTATTTTTTATGCAAGGCTACAGTTGAGTTTAATGAGAGGTGCTGCTGATAGGTGTTTATTGGTAGAGCAGCTTTTGGATGTGATTTGTAAGGATCTTGATCAAGGTAGCTTGTTTGGTACTTCCATGCTGCGGTATGTGTTTCTAACATGTTGATGTGTTTTTAGTGTTTGGATCTTCTAGTGTTTTACAGTGAACTAAATAAACTTTTTAATGATGTTATCCATGATGATCTTATTGAATTTTCTACCCAGGGGTGATGGAAATAAAGATGATAAATTAGGAGTTCTAAGTAGCTCACAATGTGGATTGGTGGAACTTGCAGCAGTTGTATTTTATAGGGTAGGTTCTACAAACTCAGCTGTCAATCCCTTGATTTAGTATTTAAGTTTTTTTTATCTCAATTATCTTCTTTCTGCAACTGTGTTGATTGATTCTGACAGTTATTTAATTCTGTAATAGCAAGACTAGTCATGGTCTTTCTTATTGTTCCTTTTTCCTCTATGTTTTTACATAGTTTGCTGGATGAATGTTACTTTTGTTGATATCTTGCCGAGCACTTTCTCATGTTTTGTTTGAGAGGTTTCAATAAAAATAAGGCGGCCAAAATCTTAAGGATGTGTGTGGTTTTTTGCATTGCCATTGGTGCGATTAGTTGTAGCAGAATGCCTGCATTAGTATGAGCTTTCTCCTAGCAAATGCCTTCAGATTTACCTTGTCGTTGTATTGTCTTTGTTGATATCTCTGGTTTTCTGCTTATGGCTTGTATTAGAGTTTCCTTCTGTGATATTGTTAGGGATATTTCTCTCTAGTTTGTCACAATTCACTTGTAATCTCCTTGTTTCTATGTGACAGTTATTACTGTCAAACAGTTAGCTATAACTGATACATGTCAATGATAAGCTTCTGATTTTACACAGGACTTCTGTAACAGGATCATCACCTTTGTATCAATCCAGTTTAGGTCAACAGTATCAGAGTTTATTTTGTCTACTTAAGTCTGTTGTCAAATCTTAATAGCTATGTAGATAAGCTGGTCAGCCTTCTTATGTAGCCCTTCACTTTCGTTATTATTCATACTTATCTTTTGTATTAGGTTTTTCTCAATCTGATGGATTGACGTAGTGGTTAGGTATTCTGTGCTCATTCATTGTAGGGACAATCTATGTAATGTAGAACCTGTATTCAGTTCCCTATGCTAGAAAACTTGTTGGGCCAGTGACAATTATAGCAGTACGAGTGGGATTAATCTTTGGTTCAGTAGGTTGGGAGAAACCTGTGACAGAACAAAAAGGGATTTCCTTTTTCTCTCCTACTCCCTAATTTAACTTAGTGTCGTTTGCTTTTGTTATTTGGATGGTCCATTTAGTTTGGCAGACTTTCTTGCTTGTGCTACTATTAATATTTTCATTCAACAGAAAACCACCATTCTGCCATGTGTAGAGTTATTTGTTTATGTGATGTCCAGTAATGTTTATTGGTTGGTAAAATGGCTATTTTATTTGGGGTATAATGTATGTACTAATTTTTATTTCTTTTCTCCCCTATAAAATTTCTGTATTACTGTAATTTTTATTCCTCAGGCATGCCTCAATACAACCAGATCCTCATTGAGTGAAAAACGGGTTAAGAGGGAGCCTGCTGCTGTGATCCTGAGGGAGGCACTCATGAAAGGCAAATGGCTATGGTAATTTATAAGCTAATTTGAGGTTATACTGCACAGCATATTCTGTAGTATGCCATAATGGTACAAACTATAATTTTTTGTTCCTCCCTGTTAAGTACCTTTTCCGCCTTCCTTATCTTTTTCAACTGTTTTCTTCCCCTTTTCCTATAATAGTTGTCATTCTATTATACAAGTCAATCATTTTGAAAAACTAATATTTTTAGTTGGTATTTATATGGGTAAAATTTTGTTTTGGGTTTGAGTCTTCTCCATTTGTTGATCTTTGTCTTCTGTCTACTCGTATGTTTTCTTATTCAAAATATTTAGCTTTCCTTAACCAGACATGTTTTATAATGGTAGAACAACTAATAAACAATATCATACATGTGCGTTATTGGTTTTATACCATGTCAAAGAACGTTTAGTACTTTTTTGTGCAACCATGGCATTTTTTCCCTTATATTCGTAATAATGATAATTTGGTTGTGCTTAGGCCTTTTGAACAGAGGATGAATTGATGCACTGACTTGTGTTTAATACTATGCCATGTTTAGATTGTTTGGAAGCCTGGGGTTCTGATTTGGCTCTCAAATTTATTAGTTTAAACTTCAAATTTGTGATATCATGCTGCCTAATTTGTGGTTTTATGGTTTGATACAGGTTAAAGGATTCAATTAGTTTTGTTTTTCTGAAATTATGGAGCATAGCAATGGAATGAATTGAAAATTCAATTTTAGACCTGGGTCTTATTTGCCATGGTTTTACTAGCCAAGAACTTCTAGTTTAGATAAAAAGTAACTTTATAAGTTGCTGCTCCATGAAAATTTTCCCTCATTTACTTATAATATTTTTAGTTCTTAACAATGAAATAAATTCTTATGTGTCGAGATGTTGTTTAATTGTCTGTATTATTATGCATTTGATTATTATCAATTGCTTTATCTACTTATAGAAAAGGAAATGTAGAGAGAAAAATGATTGGTCATGATCGCAGTTGTTGCTGTTTTGCTATGAAATGTGTAATGGAGTAATTATAAGACTTCAGAATGTATATATGAAAAAAATGCATAAGAGAGCTAATTTTCTCTTAGCTAATTCATTCATTTGTATGGGTTCTTACATCAGTACAATACAGAAAGGGTATGATAATCTGCACATAAGTGCCAAATAGGTAATACAAAGATGAGGTAACCTTTTCTAACAAGTTAACCACCTTCACAAAACTTAAGCAAATTTGACATTGCCCCTCAAGCTAGTGCATGTGCATCCATATTGTATGTACTATGTTTGGAACTTATAAATTGATTTTTGAGGTCCTCTCAAGTATTCAGTCAAAATATATGCAAGGTGATTGTTGGAGTTGCAAATTTCATGCAACCTTGGACAACAACTTCTACAGAACAAAACGAAAACCAATTGTCAAAAAGACTTTCTGATATCATTCATTATAAAGGAGAAATTTCTCTTAAATAGAATACTTACATATAATAGCTGAAAATACTAATTTTTGTGGATATATTGTATCCCAACAATTCAGTATCAGTGATCTTGTACAATAAATATAAAATATACTGCCAGCCTATTAATTCTCCTATTTATCCTTGTAATTTTGAAATATAATTAAATCTCCTAATTATGAAATTAAATTATACAAGGAAATATTAATCATGGAAACCATTTCCAAGAAACCAAAGCACAATTGATGCTGACAGAGATAAGTAAGTTTGATATTAAGCTTCTCTAAAGTAATTATGGAGGACCCAAAAGAGGAGTGGCAAGTCTTGAAGCAACTATTTTTGAGCATAAAAGGAGAACATAGTGGTAAAAAAGGAAACCTGCTAGGTGTTGAAGGTGGGTTGTTCTCAAATCAATCGAGAAATAAGATAAAAGGGTTGGAATAAAGACTAAAGAGGCTGGTGACAATAACAAAGGTGACACAAAGTCAGTCTACTAGTTGGAAGGCAGTGCGTCGACAAGACACAAATTCTGCACAGGGATGCTCACGGGGAGGAGTTGGCCTTTGAGATTGGTTGGGCTATTCATAGCTAGGAGATATGCTATAGAGCTCGTGCTTTGTTTCAAATACTGTGGTGGTAGTAGGGAAGAGTGGATGATGACAATGAGTACAGGGTTCTATGTCACTCGATAAGATAAACTGAACCAGGTGCTTGTTGAGACATGAAGACAGCAATTGCAGGGGCGGCGTTGAATGCACTGGACAATGATATAGGAACCAGATTATCCCACCCTATTACTAACATAGGAATGAAAATGCAAAAGAATGTCCGGAGATCTTAATTTTCATACTACCCTTTTCTGAGTGTTTAAGTTATTAGCTTATGAAGCATTTTGGGTTTTCTCGACTTTTGTTGTTATTTTATCTTTTTTCTTGTGATAATTGATCTTATTATGCAGAAATCAATTTGTTGTGATGTATTTTATTAATAGAGAATATTATAAGTTTTTGATGAGATTTAAAGTAGCATTGTTGTGGTAAAATCTGACGAAGGATCTATGCTGTAGGAATGCTGCATTTTGTTCCTTGACACGCAACTTCCATACTCGCATTTGCAAAGATCTGTTTATCTACTGGTTTGAAGGCATATGTATGAGCTTTGAAAGGTAATTTCAAGTTTGTGGGGGTTAAGAAAGGAACAGTTACTGTCATTATTTGTGTGAATGTTGGCTCCATTCATAGCTTTCTTATTTAAAATTATTGTTGGTTTTTAGCATAAAACACTGGATAGAAAAGAATGTAGCTGAAAATTAAAATTCCTAATTCTCTTGCCTTCTCCTTTCTTTTGATGGTGTTAAAAGTTCAATTTTTGTCATCCCATTTCCATTTTATTTGTGCTCTTTGCTTCTTCGTCCGTTTATATTTGTGTTCTTTGCTTACAATTTTGTTTTATTCATGTACTTTTTCTCTTTGTCCCTCTCTTGCTGTGTGTTTTTTTATATAGTCAAGTTACCCCATTTTCTCTCTAGATAGTTGGAGGTAGGCAATGCTAGATGATTTTGTGATTGGATTGTGGACTTTCTTAAAAATCCCAATTTACCTTCTCATGGTTCGAATAGAATATTAATAGAAGGTATGTTGATGATAAATATTATTAACAAAGTGGAGATAATATTGCAGAATCATGAATTCTTCGAATGTTGATCGTATCTATGATGGTTTGCTGTGGACTCTGAGGTATTTACACCCTGTTTTCTTGGTATGGTTTTATAATCTCTTGTTAATATTGTGAATGAGACAGAGCAGTGCTTGTGCATTTCATGTTCGTTATAGGACTTTAATTCATTTTCCCATAGTATTACACAGCATATTGGTCTATTTGAGTTGGTACTGTGGATTTCAACTTGTGTATGTTCCGTTGCATGTAAAGGAGTTTGGTGGAACTTTCTTCAGTTCTGTTGCTGCCAAATTCAAGGATGGAGATATCTGCAGTGTCATCTTCTGCCTTTAATGAGGTTTCTCTTTCTCCCATACATATTTTCACAGTTCTTTAATGTCTCACAAATGCTTCCAAATTTTAATGCTAAACATATGAAAGTGTTCATCGTTGAAGATGACCTTCTGAAAAAGATGTTGGGTTACTGCTGATAATATCCTATTCTATTAATCCATAGTTATTTTCTTGCTTGTATTGAATTTTATCTAGGAAAACAAGTCTACAGTTTAGTTGGCTATTTAATGATCTAGGTTAACTCTAGTGCATTTATTATAGTATTTGAGAAAAAATCTTGTTGGGTATTTGTAGATAGGAAAACTTGTAATTTGGATGTATTTTAGATTTCCTTTATGTTTTTTCTTAATTTTCTTTCATCATAATTTAAGATTGAACTATTCTAGCAACCGTACAATTCCTGTAGTTTGTTTTTACTTGGTATTGAAAGATCATGGTTCAGTTCTCTCTTCCTTTCTTCATGGGTGGACTGTACCATGTGTCCCTCTATGAATGTTTTGCAGCTTTCCTGGCCATCTCTCAGCAATGCCCATCCTCAACTATTGTTGCACGACTCCAGCATACCCTATGTCACCAGCCATTCCTTCATGTATTTCTTGTTTTTCTTTGGTTTAAATAAAGATTGAATGTTGGTAGCAATCACCCAATTCCTGTAAACTCTTTTCAAATAATCAATAAATCAAGCAATTTCAAGGGCTGACCCTTCAAATCTGATTTAGGCTAACTGAATAATCTCTCATTGGGATCTAGTTTGTATTCAGTTTGTTGAGAGTCTCATATTGACTAGAGATAAGGTCAATTTAGAGTATATAAGTGGGTGAAAACCTTATCTTACAAGTTGGTTTTGTAGAGTTAATTTAGGCTTAAAGTCTACTTCTTAACATAGTTTAATGTAGTTTTTGTTATATTTGTTTTCTTTTTATGAGTTGTTCTCTACAGTCCTATTTTCCAGAAGTTACCTTTTCAGTTTCAATTTTCTCTCTCTGCTATCTTCTCTCTTTCTCTCTCTCTCTCTCTATTAATTCTAATAGTTTGGTTTCAAAAAAATATATTCCTTACTAGTCAGCTGGTCATCGAATAACAGTTTTTGTTGATAAATTGGTTTTGTTGTAGGGCTACATTGGATAATTGTTATTGCTTTTGCTTCTCCTGAATGTTAGTTTTTGTGCTAAAATATGCATTAATTTGGTGAGAAATTAACTTTTGCAGTTCATTAATGGTTGGCAACTACTGTGGAGCACAATTGTGCATGGGTTACCGATTATTAGCAATATTAATGCTCTTGTAAGTTTTCTCTTGACAAAACTATATGCTCCTAATTTAAATTATAGTTTTTTATGGGTATCTAATTAGTCCTTGTTTGAATAATTTATCATGACTGTATAACTAACTTGTTTAGATAGGTTACGTAGCTTGCCCTAAGAATTTTTTTGCTAATGGCATTAATATAGTCTTTTCTTGCACCTCTTGGCATTCCAAGTGTAATTTTCTTCTATAAATAACAAAGATTAGCTTAGAGATACTCATTCTTATAAGCTCTTTTTATCATATGTTTAGTCTTAAGTTGGTATAAGAGTGTATTGTTCCCACTCTACTAGCTTTTGCGGTTGTCCATTGTTGTCCACCATCATCCATGACTGCTGCCGTCTATTCCTAGTCACCATTTTGTTACGATGAACACCTAGTCTAGTTTGTCTTATTGAGATACAATAAACAAACTATGTTTTTGTCATTGTTTGCCACCGTCTAATGTGGCCATCTGCCACATTTCTTTTTTGTGACGACCATGAGATTTGGTGTGTCTCGCCATGTGATGTCCAACCCGCCTTGTCACGTCCCTTATTCTTTGATACATATGTGATCTCCATCTGCTGAAGCTTGGAACGTGAAGGTGACAAGCCACTTTACCATCACAGGAACAACTTTGCGTCTTCTCCACAAGGCTAACTGAACCTCCTTGTCCTTGTTTCAATGTGTTTCTTTGGTATCAACTTTGGTTGAAGGGCTCCTCTCTCCTCTCTATCGGGCTTCTTCTCTCTCATACACCATTGTTCATCATGTTTGACATTATCATGTTATTGTTTCAGACTATTACTTTTTGAGAAGAGATTCAAGTCACTGGTTGCTGGTAGTTATTGGTTTGCTCCTATGAGTGTTGGGTGTTGGATATTTGTTTTGTTACCAGTGTGCTAACTTTTTGCTTTGAGTGTTAATCTGGACCGTATTTGTTGCTGTAATTTTGACTATTGGTAAATTTTTCTTTCAATATGTCTTCCAGTTGAAAAAGGACTAATTTTATTATATTCTGAATAATAAAAAATACATTCTCATATCCTCTATTTGTCACAATCTAATTCTCCTAAAAAGGGAAATAGGGAAACTAGGTAAACAAAATAAAATAGAAGATTATATATCTATTTTCTCTAATTAGGAAGATTGTAAAGATATCTCTCTAATTACAACACCCCCCCCCCCCCTAAGTTGGTAAATGAATATCAATCATTCCCAACTTGCCTATAAGATCTTGAAATCTACTCGGAGGAAGCCCTTTTGTAAAAATATCTTCTATTTGAAGTTTTGTAGGAACATGAGTTGTAATCACAAAGCCTCGGTCAAGATTATCTTTGATGAAATGTCTGTCAATCTCAATGTGTATGGTTCTGTCATGTTGTACTGGATTGTGGACTATGCTCATGGCAGACTTATTGTCACAGTATAGTTGCACCATGTTCTCCACTTTGACTTTAAGATCATCCAAAATGATTTTCATTCAGAGTCCTTCACACATTCCTTGAGTAAGGGCTCGAAATTTAGCTTCTGCACTAGAACGGGATACTCTGCCTTGCTTTTTACTTCTCCATGTTACCAGACTATCTCCAAGAAACACACAATACCCAAAAGTAGATTTTCTGTCAGTAATAGAACCTGCATAGTCAACATCACTATATATCTCCATAGTCAATGTGTCTTCCCTTTTGAATAATAGCCTCTTTCCTGGACTTGACTTCAAGTATTGGAGAATTTTGTCAACTGCTTGCATGTATCTCTCTCTTGGATCATGCATAAATTGGCTCACTACACTAACTGCACAAGCAATGTCTGGTCTTGTGTGTGATAGATAAATCAATTTTCTTACCAATCTCTGATATTGGGCCTTCTCTACAGCAGCACTTTCTTCAATAACAATTCTGTGATTCTGTTCTATAGGAATTGTTGAGGTTCTACATCCCAACTTTCCTGTTTCTTTGAAGAGATCAAGTACATATTTCCTTTGGGAGATGAAAATTCCGTTCTTAGAGTAGGCAACCTCTATTCCAAGAAAATATTTGAGTTTTCCTAGGTTTTTCATTTCAAATTGAGCTGCCAATTTATCTTTTAATGCCAATTTTTCTGTTTCATCATCTCCTGCAATAATCATATCATCCATATAGACAAACAATATAGTGAGTTTACCGGTAGAAGAGTGCTTTATGAATAGAGTGTGATCTCCTTGGCTTTGTCTGTATCCCAAGGAAACCATTGCTTTTGTAAATCTTCCAAACCATGCTCTAGGGGATTGCTTAAGGCCATACAATACTTTCTTCTAGAGGCATATCTTGTTTCTTTCATTTTTCACTTCAAAACTTGGGGGAATCTCCATGTACACTTCCTCATCTAGATTTCCATGAAGAAAGACATTCTTCACATCCAGCTGGTGTAAGTCCCATCCAAAATGGGCAGCCAATCTAGCTTATCTCCTCATAGTCAATCCCATATGTTTGGGTATATCCTTTTGCCACCAATCTAGCTTTATATCTTTCTATTGTCCCAACTACCTTATGTTTCACTGTGAATATCCATCTATACCCTACTGCCTTCTTGTCTCTTGGCTTATCAACAATCTACAAAGTTGAATTTCTTTCTAATGCATTCATCTCTTCTTTCATGGCTTGATTCCAATGTTCAAGTTTCATGGCCTCCTGGATTGAGGTAGGAATTTCTGTGGCATCAATGGCAACAATAATATTTCTGTGCTTATCAGAGAGTTTGTTAGTGCAAACATACTGAGAAATAGGATATTTAGCACATGATCTTCTTTCCTTTCTCAATGCAATGGGTAAATCCTCAGTAATACTTACCTCCTCCACATTAATATCTTCAGGGATCCTCACCTCCGGATTAGACAATTTTTCTTGCTTGAGAGTCGAGGTGAGTTGTTTCTTTCATATTTTTTGCCAATAAATTTGTCTTCTTCCTCACTGTGGACTATGGTAGCTTCATTGCTTAGGTCTTGGGCATCCTGCAAAGACAAACATGGTAACGACAAGGAGAGTTCATCCACTTCAAGTGCTTTCTCCCCCTGAAATGGTGGACTGACATAAAAGGATTGTGTTTCATGAAAGGTGACATCCATGGTGATAAAGGTGCGACGACTTTGAGGATGATAACATTTGTACCCTTTTTTATTAGAAGGATACCCAATGAAGGCACATTTAAGAGCTCTAGGATGTAATTTACCACGGTGAGGATGATGAGAGTGAACAAAAACAACACATCCAAAGACTCGACTTGGTAGACTCGTTAGTAGGGAAGAAGAAAAAACAAAAGACAATAGAGACTCTATATGACTAATGCCATTTAAGATACGAGTGAGTAACCTGTTGATGAGATATGTGGCAGTTAACACAACTTCTCCCCAGTAATTTTTGGGGACAAACATTTGAAAAAGAAGAACTCTAGTTACTTCAGGAAGATGACGATTCTTTCTTTCTGCAAACCTTTTTTGTTGAGGGGTGTTAACACATGTTAGTTCATAAACAATACCATTATGAGACAAAAAATGAGAAATTCATGATTCACATATTCAGTACCATTATCATCAGACCTAATTCTTTTGATATTTTCCCAAATTGATTTTGGACAAGAGTGGGTCTCATCGGAGGGGGACGCGTGGGCTAACACGCGCCGTCCGGCGCGTGGCAGCTTCTCTCACGGAGCGACTTCCGGCGTTGTGGTCGCCGGTGTTGGGCGCACTTTTCTGCGCTATCAACGACCCCAACCGGCGACGGCGACAACGACAGTGGTTGGACAGCGGCGGCGGTGCGGCTGTGCAGCGGAACGGAGCCCCAAGATTGGGAGCTCTGATACCAAGTTGAAAAAATGACTGATTTTATTATATTCTGAATCATAAAAAATACATTCTCTTATCCTCTATTTGTAACCATCTAATTCTTCTAAAAAGGGTCATAGGGAAACTAGGTAAATAAAATAAAATAGAAGATTATATATCTATTTTCTCTAATTAGGAAGATTCTAAAGATATCTTCTCTAATTACAACACTTCCTTTAGTTAAAGTGAATGTAAACATTCTCAATGCTCCTTTTGCAGGAGAATTGGTCACACTCAAAATAAATGCTTTTCCTTACATGGTTTCCTAACAAGGTAGCAAACTTCTTTCAATCTAATAGGGTTGAACAACAATCTTCTGATTAAGATTATATATCTTAGGTTGAAGTCTGACAGGTAAGCACAGTCATTCACCCAGTGTAGTTTGTCAAAAGCTTCCTTATTTTCTTCCATTTCTCATCTTAAAATTCCTCTTGTTATTACTATATATAGCTACCACACTTTATTTTTTACCCTTCCAAGTTACTAGGTTTCCACCAAAGAAGGTGCAATATCTAGTAGTTGACTTCCTATCCATAACTGAAATTTGTATAATCAACATCGATATATGCCTCAAAATTGACATTCTTATTTCTTTTGCACAACGCTGCAAGCAACTTGTAATTGTGCTTCCTTTGGTTGGTGCTTAAATTGACTGACTAGACTCACAATAAAGGCAAAATCTGGTCTAGTGTGAAATAGATAAATAAGTCTCCTAACAAATCTTTAGTACATTACTTTATCCACAACATCATCCTCTGTACTTCCAACTTTGTATTTGGATCAGCATCTATTTTACCTATTTCCTGTAGCAGGCCAATAATTTATACCAACTTTTTTCCAAATTTTGTATTATCATGTGGTCTAATAATTGGGCTAGCAGAGTCAAGATTTTGGCCTCAAGCCTTTGGTTTACCTTTACCCTCTCCCTCTCAGCTTCAGTTTCAGTCATATTACTCTTTTGAAATTTCATTTGTTTTTTCATTTTTTGAGCCAAATGACAAATTTGCGATATAAAAGGCTCATCATCTACCTCTCTTAAACTCATCCCTAAAGATGAGGAGGGTTAAGATAACTAACTTGCTCATAGAAGGTGACATCCCTTCTCATAGGAATTTTCGGAAGGAGGATGAAAACAGTTATACCTTTTTGTGTAACATAGTACCCTAAGAAAACACATTTCACAGCCCTTGGGTCTAGTTTTCCCCTTTGTGCTGTGAACATGTATATGCAAATATTGTAGGTGGGAGGTTAAGTCTTTGAGTTATATGTGGATAGAATGAATGGAGAACTTCCATTGGACTTTTTAATGTAAAAATTTAGAACATATGTTTTAATTAAATAAGTGGCAGTATGGCTTCACCCAAAACCTTTTTGGAACATAATTTTTGAAAAGGGACTGCTCTAGTTAGTTCAAATAAGTGTCCATTTGTTGGGGTGTGTACACACATGATGATTCATGGATTATCCTTAGAAATAATCTTTAACATTATCAGACCTAGGTTTCTTGATAGTGACCCCGTGTTGATTTTTAATAAGTGATAGAAACTGCATGACAACAAAACTAACCTCAAGTTTGTGTTTAAGGAGAAAAAGCTGTGTTGCCCTTGTACAATCATCAATAAATGTTATAAACCATTTAGCCTCTGAAATATTAGAAAGAGATGGACCCCACACATCTGTATGATTAACATAAAAAGGAGGAGTGATTATTTTATTACTTAGTGGAATAGAAACATGTGTGTTTTGCCAACTTACACATGTCACAATGAAGACTTTGCGGTGAGGAAGGAATCAATAGCTTTATTACATGAAATGAAGGATGTCCTAGATGACAATGAAACAACTGAACATTTTGTGTTGCTATTGGAAGATTCAGACATCAAAGATTGATTCTTAGTGGGCAAATTCAGATCTTCCATGTAGTAAAGGCGATTCCATTCTCTAGGACATCCAATCATTCTTCATGATTTCTCATCTTACAATATACAAGAGTTGCTATAAAAAATCACATTACATGAGTGATCCTTGGTATGATTTTGTTTAAATATTAGGTTTATGAACAATATAGGCACATCTAGAATATTTGTTAGAATTATGGTTGGGTTTATTTGGACATCTTCATGACTAGCTGTAATGATTCTGTTTTCATCAGTTGTGGAAATTTTCTTTTTTCTAGGACATGAGAAATATGTGGAAAAGTATTTAGGGAGGCAGTGATGTGTCTGTGGCTCCAGAGTCTAAAATCCAATATTGGGTAAAGTGTATATTTGTAACATTATATCTAACTGAAAATAGTAACATACCGGACTATGTCAATGAATAAACACTTGCGGGTTTTTTCATGTTTCCTGAAAAAGGACCTTACTATTTTTGGATTCTCTTGGTTTAGCTGTTCAGATCCTCCTTGATTTTCAGGAACATCAACACCATGGGAAACAACAACAACATGAGCTACCTGACCCCCTCTCTTTGGAGGACCTCATTGGTATCCCTAATCTTTGCTCTGGGGTTTTCGATGCAACTTCCAACATTTATTTCTTGTGTGGTGTGGCTTGTTGCAAAAGTACACCATACTCCTTTGTTTTTCGTTTCCATCTTTGTAAGAGAGCCTCCTTTCCTTTGGTATGTAACCATGGCTGGTGTTCCTTCAACAATTATTAAGTTTTCTGTCATAGGAGTCTCTACTTTCTTCAGTCTGATTAATTTCCATGACTTCATTGAGTCTTGGAACCTTCTCCTTTCCCAATGTTGGAACCCGGACTTGATCATGCTCTCGGTTTAGACCTACCAAGAAATCATACACCTGATTCTCTTTAATGTACTCTCTTAAAATTGCTGAATGTTCTGAACACTTGGCCTTAATGACCCTGTATTGATCCAATTCTATCCACAAAGCTGTAAGTTGATTAGCATACACAGTAACAGTTTTGGTGCCCAGTTTGGCTGCCAAAGTTGAGGAAAATATGACAACAATCAGTTAGGGTGTAGGTTATTTAATGCACTAATTAGAAAAGTAAATTGCAATTTTTTGTATGTGAAATGGGGGTAAAGGAGACGACGAAGGATATAGGGAGATGTTAAGAGAGATCTCATGGTAAATGATATACAGTCTCGTTAAGCATGTTGTAGTCTGCTGAGTCTGCTTAATTATGTGTTATTAGTTGTGAGCATTGTTATAATAAAAACTGATAAAGTGAAGGATGGATAGTGCGTACTTAACCTTTTCTTGTGATAGATATTTTATTTATTATTATCATCATTATCATTATCATTATGTGAAAAGTTATAAATTGTTTCTCTCTTGGTTATTTTTTGTGTAAGTTTCCATTTTAAATTGACAAGGACACACTGATGCAGGTGGATGCTGCTTTGCTGCTGCTTAGTAATATAACATCAAATGTGAGTTATCTATTTTACATCTTGAGATTACTAATAATAAATCTTACAACACTTGGTTCTGTCCAGGATTTTGTGAATACAAGTGTGATACCTCAAGATGTGTGGGATCTTCAGATTTTCAAACGTCCAAATTCAATGTAAGTGTCTCTTACCTAGATAGCAAAATATGGTTTTAAGGTTTTCTGAATAAGTGAAATTATATCGTGTGTTTTACAGTAGTGAATAACATCAATCATACATTATTTCACTCATCCAGTTAGTTGGATAATTTTTCCACGGATGTTTATATAATCTTCACACTTCTCTCGTTATCTAGAATGATGGCTGGTAAGAGTAACTACCGTTACAACAGCCACACAAACGTTATATTACTAGGTGAGGTCAGTAATATAAATCAAGCTATGCCTTTTGACTTGGATAAAGATAAAATCTTCAAAGATATGTTTTGCACTGAAATACCCTTAACATCTTCCCCTGCCTTCTTGCTCTACCACCATTCCTCTAGAATTTTGGGATTGAGATAAATTTGTTACCTCATAGTTTCATATATATTTCTGTTAGATATATTATATCTTTTATCTTTTAGTTAGTTTGTTATTATTTCTCATTTGTATTTTGGGCTTAGCCCATATTTCTTGTATTATAAATAGAGAACCCTATGTGTGTATTTTACACAAAGGAGATTAATTCAAATATAGTTTTTCACTATATTCAACAATTTCCAATTAGTTATTTGCTGAATTTTTAATTTTCATAGTTATCACAGCATATATACTTTAAATGTTTAATTACCTAAGAAAGGATAAACCCTCCAATGAGTCCTTTGATCCATGCATCCAATTCATTTTAATAAAAATTAGTATGCTGAAGCATCACTTTGTTGTTAGCCATTCCAGTTATGGTGGCTCCACAAACAACACCAATCATCTGCAACTCCTCAACATATCATAGAAAAATAGAGGAGAATACAAAAATGATAGTGGGGGACTAAACCTAACCTATTATTTTCTAACTTTATAAATGAAAAATCAAATCTATCCCTATAAAACTCAAGACAAATGAAGTTGGGAATGTTATCCCACCAAGTAATAACCTTGGGATTTTGTGTTAGACACAACAAGAAATTTATTACCCTCTCTAGAAGTATGCGAAAAATGAATACACATAGTATTACTCTTAATAAGTGGGTTTATGCCTACCTTAACATCAAATCTGCTTGTAAGAGGATTTGGTCATATCTCTAGTTGATATGTGATCTTCAACAAGCTTTGTCATATTGAGAAATGAACATTTCAAGTGTAAGATACATTTTTGTTTGTGGTCTAACAAAAGCCGGATAGCAGGTGGCAGAACAATCTCAATGAACTTGACTACAATGTGCATTGAATGGCTTTAATATCATCTTAGTGAGTTGATGTCTGACTCAAGCTTACAAAACTGGATCGTAAAATAAAAATTTATTAGTTTTCCGAGGAAGTCCCCCTGTAACAACTAATAGTTTTACTAGTTTTATCTTAGGATTTCTTCCTAACCCTCTCATTACTTTGATGCCTAACATAGTCTCTTATTCTTATATGGGTTGGCTCATGACTCATTGGTATCATATTTTTGTAGTGAATTTTCCAACAAAAGACCCAACAATTACAATTACAAAACAATTCAGCCATCACTAGGAAGATCCCAAGGAATAATAGAAGTATTGAACTGAGTCACACTCAATCTACATATTAGTCCAGCCTTTGGAGATTAGTCCAACTTTTGGAGATAGCGAATTCCATAACTGGAACCATACCTGTCTCCTTAGCATATAAGCCATTATGAAAACTGGGATATAAAGAGAAAACAACCCATATTGGAAGCATGATTATCTCTAAAAGTAAGCCCACAACCAGATATAAAAGCGTGTTCAACTAGAAGTATAAAACCTGGAGTTAGTAATAGTGGCTGACGTCATCTTTATAAGATTAGAAAAGGTGCATTATCTGCTGCAAGTTAGATTTAGTATCCGTGCAGAAAAGGATAACATCATCAACATATAATGTGAGTTGGCTAACTCATACCATAAGGCCTGCCATAGGGATTAGACTTTGCAATCTGCTATTGACTACATCAAGTCTATTATGTAAACAGTCTCACATCCTGTCAGAGAGAACAGTAGCTAACTGCCATTTTATTGTGTTGTTTATGCTGTTGGTAATGTGAAGCTTTAATTGAAGTTGGGAGGCTGGATTACCAATAGGACGTAGAAACTAATAATTCCGAATTTATTGGTTTCCCTTTTCTATTTTTCTTTAAGTTACTGCATTCTTATTTAGCTCATTTTCATTTTATGCAGATCCATCTTGTATTTCTTTTCATGCTACTTTTCACGAAAAAATTCCCATGTAAGTTGGTAAGAAAGTATAGTCATTTTTTTGTCTTTAATTTACTTAATGTCAAATTCTTAATTAGCTTATAGGCTTTGCTTATATTAAAATTAGTATTAACATCAGTAGAGCTATATTATGGGTGAGTAAGTACATATAATAATAACATTTACATGGCATCCTGTTAGGTTCCTTTATTCAGGAAACCAAAACAGATCACTCTCTTCTCACCACAACACTCAAAACAACAGAAGATAAATGTATGTGTATGTATTTTATTGATTCTATAATGTATAGAAAGAAAAATACAAGTATGTGTCCCCAAGGAAGCCTCCCTTCCTCCACTGGAAAATATGTCCAGTCTATAGCCAAAAGAAAATATCTGATAATCCTCTTCTCAGCCTATTCTGTTTTTATTTATACTCTCTCTCTACTAACAAACTAACCTCTTTTTCTGCCTTTAATTTCCTCCTCTTTTATTCCTTCTCACGTATACCTTTAACTTCCTAACATTACCCTCCTCCTCAACATCAACCTTGTCCTCAAGGTTGAAGTCAGGGAACTGCTGTTTGATGTATTGCTCCTCCCAGGTAGCATCCTCCAAACCACTCTCCTGCCACTATATTAGGACTTGGGGTATCTCCTCCCCTTGCTACTACTTGTTTCTTCGCTATAGCACTTTCACAGCTGTATACATGGGTCTGTCGTCCTGCAATTCAGTTGGTAGGGCTCCTTCAACTTGATGTGCTCCTATAGCTAGCTTCAACTAAGAAACATGGAATTCAGGGTGTATTCTTGATGTTTCTGGTAGCTGCAACCGAAAAGCTACAAGTCCTATTTGTTTTTCCACTAGGAATGGTCTATAATACCTTGTTGAGAGCTTAGGATGTAGTCTTGTAGGCATAGACATTTGTCTATGAGGTCTCATTTTAAGGAATACCCAATCTCCTTCCTTGATCTTGGCCTCCGCTCTCTTCTCATTGGCATAGTGTGTCATCTGGTCTTGAGCTCTGGCTAGATGATATCTCAGTTGCTTCAAAGCCTCATCTCGGGTTTGCAAGTCTTGGGCAACTTCCACCATTGTCTCTCCAGGTATGAATCGTGTCAGTTTGGGAGGGGGTCTTCCATAAATTGTTTCAAAGGGTATGCAGTTGGATGCTCCTTGGTAAATGGTATTGTACCAGTATTCAGCCCAAGGCAACACCAAACTCCAACACTTGGGTTGTTCCTAACTAAAACAGCGCAAGTATGCCATAGCACCCTGTTCAGAACTTTAGTCTGCCCATCCATCTCTGGATGATAAGCAGTGCTCATCCTAAGCTGTGTTCCCTGCAAGCGAAAAATCTCCTGCCAAAATACACTCAAAAGTGGAATCTCGGTCCCTTACGATGGTCATAGGTATCCCATGGAGTTTAATCACCTCCTTCACAAACACTTCAGCTGAGGATCTTGCGGTATAAGGGTGCTTAATTGGGATAAAATGCCCATACTTGCTGAGTTTCTCCACCACCACTAATATAATGTCAAATCCACGAGACTTGGGTAATTTCACCACAAAGTCCATACTGATTTCCTCCCATATTGCTTTCAGGATAGATAATGACTGCAAAAGACCTTGGGGAGATGATGCCAAGTATTTATGCTGTTGACATACTAGGCATGCAGCCACATAATCTGTGACTGCCTTCTTCATTCCCACCCAATACAAAGACTGTGTCGCCCTTCTATAGGTCCTATAAACCCCTGAATGTCCTCCTGTGACAGTGTTATGAAACTCTGCCAATAATCTAGGTATCTAGGCAGACTGAGCTGATAGAACGAGCCTTCCCTTGTAATGTAATCGCCCATCTCATGTTCTAAGGTATATGTAGGATGGGAATTAGGATCTGCCCTTATTTCCTCCAACACCTTCGTTAAACTCTCATCCTTCTCGACCTCCTCCACGATTTCCTGAAATTCAGACCAATATGGTCTGGATATCATCTGTAGTGCTTTGTCTCCTTCATACCATTCTCCCCATTTTCTGGATAGCCCATCAACCCACGATTTGATGCCCCTGTCGCATATTATATTTCAAACTAATACCCAAGTAGCTTAGCTAGCCAATTTTGCTGGTTTGGGTAGTAATGCGCTATTCCCGTAAATACCTTAAGTTTCTTTGATTAGTATAAACAACAAACTTCTGACCCAATAATTGCTCCTCGTTCACTCTCGATGCTTGCGCCACCAGGATTTCAAACTCTTGGATGTACTCTTTGACGCTCCCCTTTTGTCACACGGAGGCCAGTTTCTCAAAAACGGTGCCCCGATTCAGTCCGCCAAACCTCTGCGCCAGAGCGTCATTGAACATCTTCCAAGTCGGATGCCTAGTCTTCTTCCGCCAAAAGCGGAACCAGTAGCTAGCGCCTCCCTCCATACAGATATAAACAAGCTTCATCTTCTCCTTCTCCATCACGTTTTGGGGATCGAAGAATTTCTCCGCCTTTGCGATCCAGCCCATGGAATCCGCACCTTCAAATGTAGGTAGTTCAACACGCTTCATCCAACTGTGTTGCACTTCTCCTCTGTCCTCTTCCGATTCATCCTTTGAGCTCTTCAGCGATCGTGATTAGCGTTCGGCATTGACGAAATCACGACTTCCTTCGGAGCTAGGATCCTGGTTCCGAGAGCGCGGCCAAACGCTTGGAGTTCGTGAGTTACTGCTTGCATCTCCGCCTTCAATTCTTCCACTATCGACTCAATCGCCATCACTCGTCCCTCCATTCTTCTTCTCGCACACTCTCTCTTCACCCTTCGAAAGAGATCTGACAGGTCGAACGAAATCTGTTAGGTTCCTTTATTTAGGAAACCAAAACAAATCACTCTCTTCTCACCACAACACTCAAAACAGCAGAAGATAAATGTATGTGTATGTATTTTATTGATTCTGTATTGTATAGAAAGAAAAATACAAGTATGTGTCCCCAAGGAAGCCTCCCTTCCCCCCCTGGAAAATATGTCTAGTCTATGTCCAAAAGAAAATATTTGATAATCCTCTTCTGAGCCTATTCTGTTTTTATTTATATTCTCTCTCTCAACTAAAAAACTAACATCTTTTCCCACCTTTAATTTCCTCCTCTTTTATTCCTTCTCACGTATACCTTTAACTTCCTAACACATCCAAATGCAAGCTGGAATAGTCAAGTCTTTGATATATTATCTTTATCTTATTTTTATCTTTTATCTTTAGTTAGTTTGTTATTATTTCTTATTTGTACTTTGGATTTAGTTCATATTTTTTGTACTATAAATAGATGACCATATGTGTATATTAACACAAGGGAGATTATTCCCAATATATAGTTTTCACTATATTCAACATGGTATGTAGAGCCAGGTCCTTTTAAGGAAAAAAAAATTTCTGTTGCCTCTGCCACTACACATGCCGTTGCCGACAGTGGTGTTGTCTACCGCTACCAGTACTAGAGTTTAAGTTTTGATTGACGATCACATTGCGTTTGACCCTTCCATAGATGCTTTTTCTCCCGTGGCAGAGATGACTTTTGTTAGTTTATTTATAGCCATGGTGGCTCTTAAACAATGACCTCTTTATCCACTAGATGTCAACAATGCATTCCTCAACGACGATTTGTGAGAAGAGATTTAGATGGAATAACCTCCCAGATTTGTTGTTTCGGAGAGTCTTTTGGGTTGGTATTTCGTCTTCTATGTTGTCTAAACAAATTATTAACAATTTGGTGTCACTCAAGTGTAAAAGTATATTTTTCACTAAGTCTTTATTGATTATATTAATAACAAGCTTGGTACATACGATTTGTATGCACTAGCTTGAGGGAGAGTGTTTGATAGGAACCCAGAATTGAAAAGAAACAAAAGAGTAATATTCTTTATTGTATAGACTGTATAGAACACAAAGAATAGGAGAGCACTCTCTCCTCTGAGGGTTTCCCCTTCAGAAATAGCCAAAGCTCAATCTACAAGATTATCCAAAAGTGTCTGACACAAGACATCCCTGCCTTCTTATAAAGGCCCCACCAACCAACTAACCAACTAACAACTAATTCCTAATCTATTTCCTTTTATTATGCAGACATTATATCTTGTCCTCAAGGTTGGAACCGTGAAACTTGATCTCTTGGGTCATCTTCATCAACGTGTTATCATACGAAGGGAATCCACGGGCTACTGCTTGCAAGTTTAGATCTAGAGCCTTGGTTGGTGGTTGATATGAGAGTGGTTTTTGCATACCAAATTCTGAACCCATTAATTTGTAATCCCAAAATTCCAATGTCATTAATTGTTGCATCCCCTTCCTCCATCATACTATATTTTTCTGTTACGAATCTCCCTTCCGTTTTGGTTTTTTCTTCCCTACAGAGAGTGTGATTCTTCATTGCTGGCCTTTCTCCCACAATTAAAGCACTTTGTGAATCTCTAATCACGTTTCTTTAGATCCTGTTGTGGCAACCAATTCTGAATGTTAGATTGCAGCCCTGCAAAGAAAAATTCTTGCAATTGATCTTCTGGTGTTTTACTTGCTTGTGATCATGCAATGACTGTAAGGGTTCCTTGGTTAAGTTTCGTATTCTAAAAGCAAGTGCACGATGCATATCCTTAAGGGGGCTTAAAGTGAAACAAACAATCTTTGTTTGATACCAAGGTCATGAAGTGTATAGGGTTTATGACGCTTGTTGAGAATAGCTCTGCCATGCGAGTGAGACCAACTAGATAGTTATGCTCTGTGACCTGAACTGGGACAAAATTACTTTTAATGCAAGGTATAGGCAATTGGCTGAGAGGTAAGTCACATGTTTTATGAAAGACTTCAGCAAAAGTCTTCTTTTGCATCATGGAACCCCCTGCCACATTTCATGTTATATTTTTATTATGTGTTTTGTTGTAATTTGAGATAATATCTTTAGAATCTTCCTAATTAGAGGAAATAGATACATAATCTTTTATTTTATTTTATTTTTCCTAGTTTTCCCAGTTTCCCTATTTCCCTTTTTAGGAGAACTAGATTTTTTCAAATCGAGGGTATGAGAATGTATTTTTTATGATTGAGAATAATAAAATAAGTCTTATTTTCAACTTGGTGTCAGAGCTCCTGATTTGGGGCTTGATTCCGCTGCACCAAGTCGCACCGCCGCTGCTGTCCGACCAACCCCGCTGTCGCCGTCGCCGGTTGGGGTCGTTGATAGGGCAGAAAGGTGCGCCCAACACCGGCGATCACAATGCCGGAAGTCACTCCGTGAGAGGAGCCGCCATAGTCGCCGGCGCTTGTAACCCATGCGCCTACCTCTGGCGAGACCCACTCACCGCCGCCGCCACAGACAGGGTCGCCGGAGCCCCCTGAGTCTATTCCTAGGGTTGGTGACGACTCATTTTGGCTGTATTTGAGTAGATATGAGTTTTAAGTTTTGCTTCTATTTTCTCGGTGTGACCCACTCACCGTCGACGCCACTGAAGAGTCGCCGGAGCCTCCTGAGTCTGTTTTTAGGGTTGGTGATGACCCGTTTGGCCTTTATTTGAGTAGATATGAGTTTGAAGATTTTTGCTCTTTTTTTTCTTCGGTACGGGATGTCTGAAAAAAAAAGTAATCCTTTGGGGGTACCTAATGACCTACCAAATATAGGAAGTACCTCTTGGTTGGATGGTCAGAATTACTTACAATGGAGCCAATTTATTCTAAGGATTCTCAAGGGTAGTTCAAAACTTGATCAAATAGATGGAGGAGGACCAGGACCAGACGATCCTCATTTTTCAATTTAGGACAAGGAAGATTCATTAATTATTACTTGGATGTGGCAATCCATGATTCCTGAGATAAGGAAAAATTACATATTTCATTCTTCTGCAATAGTAATATGGGATGATTTACAGAGTACTTTTTAATTAAAAAAGGATCTTGCTGCTTACTATGACATCAAGAACAGGATATTTAATACAAAACAGGGCTCCCTTTCCGTATCAGAATATCACGAAATCCTGAATGGTCTTTGGATGGAACTCGATCAAATCCAAACAATAAAGATGTGTAAAACAGATGCTGCCGCTCTTGCTGAATTCATTGAAGGGGAAAAAATCTTTAAATTTCTCCTGGGCCTGAATCATGAGTACGACCGAATCCGGGTTCAAATTTTTGGAAGAGAAAAATTACCACCCCTGTCAGAACTTTTTTTTTATGTTAAGAGGAGAAGAAACTCGGAGAACTGTCATGCTTCATGGAGGGATTCCAACACAGGCTCTGCCATGGCAATTGGAAAGGGAGTCTACAAGGGAACAAATGCTGGAGGAAAGACGTTTGAAAGAGGTACTCATGGGGATTATTGTTTATACTGTAAAAGATCTGGACATACCATGGAAACATGCTTCAAACTCCATGGAAGAAAGAATGATCTCAAGCGCATGGGAAACAACAATGGGCCTACTCAAAGATGGGTAAATCATACTACCTTAGAAAGGGAAGCCACCAATCAATCTAGTCCTTCCCAGTCTAATCCACAACCACCACCAGATCTTGATATGAAAGCTTATAAGGAGAAAATTGAGCGCTTGGAAGCAATAGTTGAATCAATGAGTAAGCCCTTTGGATCATGTACTCTGTCCATAAAAGGTAAGATTTGTCTCAATACTGTTGGTCATGTGTCTCAAGGTATTTGGATCCTTGATTCGGGTGCAACTGATCATGTGACACCTTTTACTGGGTATTTCAACTCATATGGAAAAAGCAATAAAGAAGAACTTATTACAGTTGCAAATGGTCAAGGTATACCTGTATGCTGCCATTGATGCCATAGAAATTCCTACCTCAATCCAGGAGGCCAAGAAACTTGAACATTGGAATCAAGCCATGAAAGAAGAGATGAATGCATTAGAAAGAAATTCAACTTGGGAGATTGTTGATAAGCCAAGAGACAAGAAGGCAGTAGGGTGTAGATGGATATTCACAGTGAAACATAAGGCAAATGGGACAATAGAAAGGTATAAAGCTAGATTGGTGGCAAAAGGATATACCCAAAAATATGGGATTGATTATGAGGAGACATTTGCCCCAGTGGCAAAGATGAATACAGTTCGAGTTATTCTCGCTTTGGCTGCCCATTTTGGATGAGACTTACACCATATGGATGTGAAGAATGCCTTTCTTCATGGAAATCTAGATGAGGAAGTGTACATGGAGATTCCCCAGGTTTTGAAGTGAAAAAAGAAAGAAAAAGGGTATGGCTCCTGAAGAAAGCATTGTATGGTCTTAAGCAATCCCCTAGAGCATGGTTTGGAAGATTTACAAAAGCAATGGTTTCCTTGGGATACAATCAAAGCCAAGGAGATCATACTTTATTCATAAAGCACTCTTCTACAGGTAAACTCACTCTTTTGCTTGTCTATGTGGATGATATGATTATTGCAGGAGATGATGAAACATAAAATTTGGCAGCTCAATTTGAAATGAAAGACCTAGAAAAACTCAAATATTTTCTTGGAATAGAGGTTGCCTACTCTAAGAACGGAATTTTCATCTCCCAAAGGAAATATGAACTTGATCTCCTCAAAGAAACAGGAAAGCTGGGATGTAGAACCTCACAGAATTGGAAGTCAAGAAAGTGCTCCTGTAGAGAAAGCCCAATATCAGAGATTGGTGGGAAAATTGATTTATCTATCACACACAAGACCAGGCATTGCTTATGCAGTTAGTGTAGTGAGTCAATTTATGCATGATCCAAGAGAGAGACACATGCAAGCAGTTGACAAAATTCTCCAATACTTGAAGTCAAGTCCAGGAAAGGGGCTATTATTCTAAAGGGAAGACACATTGATTATGAAGATATATACTGATGCTGACTATGCTGGTTCTATTACTGACAGAAAATCTACTTCTTGGTATTGTGTATTTCTTGGAGATAGTCTGGTAACATGGAGAAGCAAAAAGCAAGATAGAGTATCCCGTTCTAGTGCAGAAGCTGAATTTCGAGCCCTGGCTCAAGGAATGTGTGAAGGACTCTGGATGAAAATCATTTTGGATGGTCTTAAAGTCAAAGTGGAGCACCCGATGCAACTACACTGTGACAATAAGTCTGCTATGAGCATAGCCCATAATCCAGTACAGCATGATATAACCAAACACATTGAAATTGACAGACATTTAATCAAAGATAATCTTGACATAGGCTTTGTGATTACAACTCATGTTCCTACATAGCTTCAAATAGCAGATATTTTTACAAAAGGGCTTCCTCCGGGTAGATTTCAAGATCTTGTAGGCAAGTTGGGAATGATTGATATTCATTTACCAACTTGAGGGGGAGTATAGTAATTTGAGATAATATATTTAGAATCTTCATAATTAGAGGAAATAGATACATAATCTTTTATTTTATTTTATTTTTCCTATTTCCCTTTTTAGGAGAACTAGATTATTACAAATAGAGGGTATGAGAATGTATTTTTTATGATTGAGAATAATAAAATAAGTCTTATTTTCAACTTGTTTATCTCGGATACTCTTAATATATACTGTAGACACCTTTTGTGGCTTGGTAACAGCTCCTCTGATACGTTTTCTAACATTTATTGGTATTCATAATAACCATGGATGTCTGACAAGTATAGCCAGAAGGTAATGCATGTTTTTCTGCTGATTAAGTTTACAGGATTTAAGATCAAAGGACTGGTATCAAATCAATCAATCATAGTTTGGTGTAGGTCAAACCTCATCTAGCCCTTTTTCCAAGTTTTTGATTTGATTAATGGAGTAGTGATAGGGCCATGATTAAGAAGTCTAAAAGAGGACACGAACAAGTGGGCAGGGGAAGGAAAATTAGATCTAGGAGAACAGTGAAAGATTTAAGCTTGTATATTATTCATTTCAGTATTGATTCTTATATTCCTTGGTAATACACTGTTTGTTTTTGCTTATTGAAGATGATGTTTTGCAAATGTATGTGTATGGGTAAACTACAGGCCTTTTTCACTTAATTTACTGTTCCCATAATGTGCAGTCTGAACCCCAAGATATGTTACATATGAGGAAAAGCCTTTTAAGAGCAACTTTGTGCCATCTTAATTGGAAGGTTTGGTTCCGTAAAATTGTTATGAGCAAAATATTTTAATCTTCACTGTGTGTTAAGGAAAACACGTGTAAACAAATTTAATGGCCAAACCCATTACATGTGGGAGGAAGGCATCATGCACCATTGCTTTACTTGCATTTATTTGTTCCTTATTATGCAGGGTTGTTCTATGTTGAATGAGCAGATGACTTTTCTCATTCCTAGTGCTATATATGCACTTTGTATAGGTTTTGTTCCTTTTACACAATGCTTTAAAGAAGTTCCTTTGGCTCACAATTATTTTGATGTCACTGATGCTCAAGATGATTCTCATAAGGTATACCCTAGCTACATCTTCCTGTACTAATATTTATTTATTAGTTTTGATTAAACTGTCACTAAAAGCTTAATCATAATGTTAACTGTAGTTTGAAGACCCTAAATACCAATGTGTTCTTGATTTTTTGGATTGCTCTGTGGAAGTTCTCGCAGAAATTGAAAAGATGTCCAAAGTTGAGGTTTGGTGCCCTCACATAAAGAAGCTTGTCTTTGTTAAAATTTGTGATTTTTGGCTTACAAAATTTCAATTTCAGGCCACCCAAGTGAAAATATGTCCACCTTTTCGGGTTTCACGGGAAATAAGTGATAAGCTATTGCATGAAATGGAGACCTCTATTCTTGGAGCTTTGGTGGAAGAGGAGATTAACAAGAGGCATCTGCCTGATACTTTATTGATATGTTCTCTCCTGTCTAACCTACTTTATGGTTGTTTTTTCACAAGGTTTGTCACATTTGGGTCATTATTTTTCTATTTTGTCTGCATTTGGTAACAAAGAACTGGTGTTTGTGCTTGCTAATTTGATCAAGTAGAACTGTAAAAATATATCTCCTTAAATAAAGGAAATAAATATCCAGACATAAAGCCTGTAAATTTGGAGCAAATCTGCCAAATAAACTCCTAATCACAATCCCTTACTTTTAGGGATTTCTTATAAACAAATCTATATCTATTATCAAATCAATCTATATTTATTGTACAGTAAATGTGCAATATTTACACCCATATTTTAATAGGTATTGAAGTTGGTAATTAATATGAATGTGAGTGAACTTTCAATAGGTATTGAAGTTGGTAATTAGTGTGAATGTGAGTGAACTTTCTGCGGGAAGGTTTGGGTTTGCTGCTACATAATACTTGAATGAAATGCAATTGGAAGTCTTATTTTAGTTTATTATTATAAATTTGATATTAAATTTACTTCTAGCTTGTAGGAGGAGAAATGATACCATACTTTTAGCTTCACTAATATCTTCTAATGCTCATGGAAGTAGAGATTTCCTTTCCTGAAAATCAGAGAAAAAAATCATAAAACTAAGAAGCCCAGTACAATTCAGGTTCAAAGAGATTTTTATTGTATTTAGAAGAGAGTCAAAGTTCTTCTACAGTGAGACAATAACTAGATGCCAAAGCCCTCAGAGAAACAAATGTCCTCCCATCTTGTTGGAGATGTTACATAAATCCATTCATGTCTCTTTATCTAGTAAACCAAGCTTTTGGGATTGTTGGTCATACATGGTTTCAGAGCCTCTATGATCAAATGATATATTGGTAGTAATGTTGTAGTTAGAGAATATATCTTTAGAATCCTTCCTAATTAGAGAAAATAGATGTATAATCTTCTATTTTATTTTGTTTCTCTAGTTTCCCTATTTTCCTTTTTAGGAGAATTAGTTTGTTACAAATAGAGGATATGAGAATGTATTTTTTATGATTTAGAATAATAAAAATCAGTCCTATTTTCTACTTGGTATGAGAGCTCCCGATCTTGGAGCTCCATTCCGTTGCACAATCGCACTATCGCCGCTGTTCACCACTGCTGCTGTTGTCGTTGCTGGTTGGGGTCTTGATAGGACAGAAAGGTGCGCCCAACACCAGTGACCACAACGTGGGAAGTCGCTCCGGGAGAGAAGCCGCCACGCGCCGCCACCATCGTCGACGCGTGTAGCCCACGCACTCACCTCTGATGAGACCCGTTGCTACCGCCGCCACAGACAGAGTTGCTGGAGCCTCCTGAGTCTTTTCCTAGGGTCGGTGACAACCCGTTTGGCCTATATTTGAGTAGATCTGAGTTTTAAGTTCTACTCCTTTTTTTTCGGTGTGATCCACACATCGTCGTCGGCTCGGGAAAGGTCACCGGAGCCCCCTGGTTGTGTTCTATGGAATGTCTGAAGTAAAAATTATTCCTTTGGGTCCTAATGACCTTCCAAATATTGGGACTACCTGTCGGTTGGATGGTCGTTATTTCTTACAATGGAGCCAATTTATTCGAAGGATTCTCAAGGGTCGTTCAAGACTTGATCACATAGATGGAGGAGGACCAAAACCAGACTATTTTTCTATTTGGGACAATGAAGATTCATTAATTATGACTTGAATGTAGCAATCCATGATTCCTCAGATAAGTAGAAATTATATGTTTCATTCTTCTGCAAAAGAAATATGGGATGATTTACAGAGTACTTTTTCATTAAAACCACCACTAGATCTTGATATGAAAGCTTATGAGGAGGAACTTGAGCATTTGAAAGCAATGGTTGAATGAATGAGTAAGCCCTCTGGATCATGTACTCTGTCCATAAAAGGTAAGATTTGTCTCAATACTGTTGGTCATGTGTCTCAAGGTATTTGGATCCTTGATTCCAGTGCAACTGATCATATGACACCTTTTAGTGTGTCCTTCGACTCATATGGTAAAAGAAATAAAGAACAACCTATATGCGGCTCTGGGAATATAATTTTGGACTCATCTATTGTATTGAAGGATGTTTTACATATTCCTTAATTAGCTACTAGTCTTATCTCTGTGCAAAAACTCACAAAAGGATTTAAATTGTTCAGTAACATTTTTTCCAACTTATTGTGTTTTTCAGAACGTTGCCACAGGAAAGATGATTTTAACTGCTAAGGAGCAGAGTGGGTTGTATGTTTTAGAGTTTGATGACCAAAGCAACACACAAATCATGAGTCAACAAGCTACATTTGAGACGTGGACAAAATCTCAAATATGGTTACATCATCAAAGGCTTGGGCATCCTTCATTTATTCTTATCAAGTCCTTGTTTTCCCATTTGTTTACCAAGGAGTCTGTTGAGTCTTTTAATTGTGATATTTGTCAATTGTCAAAACACCATCGTGCATCTCATCCTATTAGTAATAAAAAGAGTATTTCTTCATTTGATTTAATTCATTCTGATGTTTGGGGTCCTGTCATAGATTCTATTTCTGGAGCCAAATGGTTCGTTATCTTTATTGACGATTGTACCCGTGTTACATGGACATACCTTATGAAAAATAAATCCGAAGTTTTTCAAATTTTTGTTAATTTTTTCCGCCTTGTCCAAACTCAATTTGGAAAAAATATCAAAAGAATTAGGTCTGATAGTGGTACTGAATATGTGAATCATGAATTTCTCAATTTTGTCTCATAATGGTATTGTTCATGAACTAACCTGTGTTAATACCCCTCAACAAAATGGGGTTGCTGAAAGAAAGAATCGTCATCTTCTTGAAGTAACTAGAGCTCTTCTTTTTCAAATGTCTATTCCAAAAAATTACTGGGGAGAAGCTGTGTTAACTGCCACATATCTCATCAATAGGTTACCCACTCGTTTGTTAAATGGCATTAGTCCTATAGAGCCTCTATTGTCTTTTGTTCCTTCTTCTTCCCTAATAACGAGTCTACCTTGTCGAGTCTCTGGATGTGTTGTTTTTGTTCACTCTCATCATCCTAACCGGGGTAAATTAGATCCCAGAGCTCTTAAATGTGTCTTTATTGGGTATCCTTCTAATAAAAAAGGGTACAAATGTTATCATCCTTAGAGTCGTCGCATCTTTATCACCATGGATGTCACCTTTCATGAAACAAAATCCTTTTATGTCAGTCCACCACTTCAGGGGGAGAAAGCACTTGAAGTGGATGAAGTCTCCTTCTTGTCATTACCGTGTTTGTCTTTACAGGATGCCCAAGACCTGAGCAATGAAGCTACCATAGTCCACAATGAGGAAGAAGAGGAAGACAAATTTTTTGGCAAAAAATATGAAAGAAGAGAACAACCCACTTTGACTCACGAGCAAGAAAAATTGTCTACTCCGGAGGTGAGGATCCCTGAAGATATCAATGAGGAGGAGGTAAGTATTACTGAGGATTTACCCATTGCATTGAGAAAGGACAAAAGATCATGTGCTAAATATGCTATTTCATAGTATGTTTGCACTAACAATCTCTCTGATAAGCACAGAAGTTTTATTGCTGCCATTGATGGCACAAAAATTCCTACCTCAATCCAGGAGGCCATGAAACTTGAACATTGGAATCAAGCCATGAAAGAAGAGATGAATGCATTAGGAAGAAATTCAACTTGGGAGATTGTTGATAAGCCAAGAGACAAGAAGGCAGTAGGGTGTAGATGGATATTCACAGTGAAACATAAGGCAAATGGGACAATAGAAAGATATAAAGCTAGATTGGTGGCAAAAGGATATACCCAAACGTATGGGATTGACTATGCGGACACATTTGTCCCAGTGGCAAAGATGAATATAGTTCGAGTTATTCTCGCTTTGGCTGCTCATTTTGGATGGGACATACACCAGCTGGATGTGAAGAATGCCTTTCTTCATGGAAATCTAGAAGAGGAAGTGTACATGGAGATTCCCCAGGCGTTGACGTGAAAAACTAAAGAATCAAGGTACGCCTCCTGAAGAAAACATTGTATGAGCTTAAGCAATCTCCTAGAGCATGGTTTGAAAGATTTACAAAAGCAATCGTTTCCTTGGGATACAGACAAAGCAAAGGAGAGCACACTCTATTCATAAAGCACTCTTCTACAGGTCAACTCACTTTATTGCTTGTCTATGTGGATAATATGATTATTGTAGGAGATGATGAAATAGGAAAATTGGCATTAAAAGATAAATTACTCAATCAATGAAATGCACCAAATATAAATCAATAAAAGACCCAACAAAACAGTAAGGAATGACTCAAAAGAGAAAAGGCACAAAAAGTAGCCAAAACTACCAAAAACGAACTTGAAAAAATGCTAACGACAACATCCTTGCAGCTTTGACCTTTGCGGAGGGTTTTACATATAACATTCTACACAGAACTCCAAATGAAGTGATTATTTTTTTGTTGGAAACTAGACTCAAAGGGCTTTCATTTGATTAATTTTATGTATTTTTTGGACAACTGAGCTAGATGCAATTTAAGTTTGAAAATCGTCACAGTTTGCTGCCAGAACAAATGATAGATGAAAAAAAAAACACACAACAAGACAAGTATGGAAATAACATCAATGACATGGAAGAATAAAGGATAGATAAGCACCAAAAGACTTAGCTGTTGAAGAACCAAAGCTCTTGATACCAAAAGATGGCAATGCTCTAACTAGGACAAGCCAAATCTAGAAGCAAATCAAGGCGTAAGTTCATGGATGAAGTTTGCGGAATTTGGTGGTGGTGAAAGGTGTTGATAGCTCATGGTTTTGGTGAGTTGTATGGTGAGGGAAGATATGTTTAAGGGTTCTCTAAGAGAGGTTGGGCGAACTCTTGGAGGAAGGTGGCTAGAGGAGGCCACTTGGGTTGCTCTAGCCTAGGGTGACCTTAAAAGAGTAGTATGGCACAAAAATGGCAGCATAACTTTACTCTAAATCAAAGGTGATTACATGATGGAGAGCAGCTCTATTTATAGGCTAAGGTGTCTCAAAATGGGCTAAAACTTTAACCTAAAAGAGCCACCTTGGTTGTCTTGGAGAGCAAGGAGAAATCCTCTTCAATAGGAGGGAGACAAGTGGCAAAAATCCTCTCAAATGAGAGAGTGACATGTGGCCACTATCTATGGAAAAACTCTCCATTCCTAGAGTGACATATGGCCACTAACTAGGAGGAAAACTCTCCAGTGGGAAGCTTCCACATGTCTAGGACGAAATTCTTCTCCCTTATTCTCCAAGCTTATCCAAAATGTTGACCCCTTGGTCAACACACCTATTTTGGAGGTCCAAGCATAGTCAACTTTGGGCCTTGACCCTTTGTTGACTTTTTTAGTCAAAATCCTATTCTACTTGGCCCAAAATACAAGGCCCAATTGAAGTCCTACACTACTAGGCCCATAATACAAAGCCCAAATAAAATCTAGACTGCTTGGTCCAAAATACAAAGCCCAAATAAAATCTAGACTACATGGCTCAAAATACAAGGCCCAAAATTATTCTTACTCTACTAAATTTTCTGATGACTTAAGATGGCCCAAGAGAAAGAGTCTAGGCCCATCTTCCATAGATGCCTCCAACTCTTCATGAATGTGCTAGGTCTTGGTAAGGGGTATGCCATCACATTGACTATGAAGATATATACTGATGCTGACTTTGTAGGTTCTATTACTGACAGAAAATCTACTTCTGGGTATTGTGTGTTTCTTGGAGATAGTCTGGTAACATGGAGAAGTAAAAAGCAAGATAGAGTATCCCGTTCTAGTGCAGAAGCTGAATTTCGAGCCCTGGCTCAAGGAATGTGTGAAGGACTCTGGATGAAAATCATTTTGGATGGTCTTAAAGTCAAAGTGGAGCACCCGATGCAACTACACTGTGACAATAAGTCTGCTATGAGCATAGCCCATAATCCAGTACAGCATGATATAACCAAACACATTGAAATTGACAGACATTTAATCAAAGATAATCTTGACATAGGCTTTGTGATTACAACTCATGTTCCTACATAGCTTCAAATAGCAGATATTTTTACAAAAGGGCTTCCTCCGGGTAGATTTCAAGATCTTGTAGGCAAGTTGGGAATGATTGATATTCATTTACCAACTTGAGGGGGAGTATAGTAATTTGAGATAATATCTTTAGAATCTTCCTAATTAGAGGAAATAGATACATAATCTTTTATTTTATTTTATTTTTCCTATTTCCCTTTTTAGGAGAACTAGATTATTACAAATAGAGGGTATGAGAATGTATTTTTTATGATTGAGAATAATAAAATAAGTCTTATTTTCAACTTGTTTATCTCGGATACTCTTAATATATACTGTAGACACCTTTTGTGGCTTGGTAACAGCTCCTCTGATACGTTTTCTAACATTTATTGGTATTCATAATAACCATGGATGTCTGACAAGTATAGCCAGAAGGTAATGCATGTTTTTCTGCTGATTAAGTTTACAGGATTTAAGATCAAAGGACTGGTATCAAATCAATCAATCATAGTTTGGTGTAGGTCAAACCTCATCTAGCCCTTTTTCCAAGTTTTTGATTTGATTAATGGAGTAGTGATAGGGCCATGATTAAGAAGTCTAAAAGAGGACACGAACAAGTGGGCAGGGGAAGGAAAATTAGATCTAGGAGAACAGTGAAAGATTTAAGCTTGTATATTATTCATTTCAGTATTGATTCTTATATTCCTTGGTAATACACTGTTTGTTTTTGCTTATTGAAGATGATGTTTTGCAAATGTATGTGTATGGGTAAACTACAGGCCTTTTTCACTTAATTTACTGTTCCCATAATGTGCAGTCTGAACCCCAAGATATGTTACATATGAGGAAAAGCCTTTTAAGAGCAACTTTGTGCCATCTTAATTGGAAGGTTTGGTTCCGTAAAATTGTTATGAGCAAAATATTTTAATCTTCACTGTGTGTTAAGGAAAACACGTGTAAACAAATTTAATGGCCAAACCCATTACATGTGGGAGGAAGGCATCATGCACCATTGCTTTACTTGCATTTATTTGTTCCTTATTATGCAGGGTTGTTCTATGTTGAATGAGCAGATGACTTTTCTCATTCCTAGTGCTATATATGCACTTTGTATAGGTTTTGTTCCTTTTACACAATGCTTTAAAGAAGTTCCTTTGGCTCACAATTATTTTGATGTCACTGATGCTCAAGATGATTCTCATAAGGTATACCCTAGCTACATCTTCCTGTACTAATATTTATTTATTAGTTTTGATTAAACTGTCACTAAAAGCTTAATCATAATGTTAACTGTAGTTTGAAGACCCTAAATACCAATGTGTTCTTGATTTTTTGGATTGCTCTGTGGAAGTTCTCGCAGAAATTGAAAAGATGTCCAAAGTTGAGGTTTGGTGCCCTCACATAAAGAAGCTTGTCTTTGTTAAAATTTGTGATTTTTGGCTTACAAAATTTCAATTTCAGGCCACCCAAGTGAAAATATGTCCACCTTTTCGGGTTTCACGGGAAATAAGTGATAAGCTATTGCATGAAATGGAGACCTCTATTCTTGGAGCTTTGGTGGAAGAGGAGATTAACAAGAGGCATCTGCCTGATACTTTATTGATATGTTCTCTCCTGTCTAACCTACTTTATGGTTGTTTTTTCACAAGGTTTGTCACATTTGGGTCATTATTTTTCTATTTTGTCTGCATTTGGTAACAAAGAACTGGTGTTTGTGCTTGCTAATTTGATCAAGTAGAACTGTAAAAATATATCTCCTTAAATAAAGGAAATAAATATCCAGACATAAAGCCTGTAAATTTGGAGCAAATCTGCCAAATAAACTCCTAATCACAATCCCTTACTTTTAGGGATTTCTTATAAACAAATCTATATCTATTATCAAATCAATCTATATTTATTGTACAGTAAATGTGCAATATTTACACCCATATTTTAATAGGTATTGAAGTTGGTAATTAATATGAATGTGAGTGAACTTTCAATAGGTATTGAAGTTGGTAATTAGTGTGAATGTGAGTGAACTTTCTGCGGGAAGGTTTGGGTTTGCTGCTACATAATACTTGAATGAAATGCAATTGGAAGTCTTATTTTAGTTTATTATTATAAATTTGATATTAAATTTACTTCTAGCTTGTAGGAGGAGAAATGATACCATACTTTTAGCTTCACTAATATCTTCTAATGCTCATGGAAGTAGAGATTTCCTTTCCTGAAAATCAGAGAAAAAAATCATAAAACTAAGAAGCCCAGTACAATTCAGGTTCAAAGAGATTTTTATTGTATTTAGAAGAGAGTCAAAGTTCTTCTACAGTGAGACAATAACTAGATGCCAAAGCCCTCAGAGAAACAAATGTCCTCCCATCTTGTTGGAGATGTTACATAAATCCATTCATGTCTCTTTATCTAGTAAACCAAGCTTTTGGGATTGTTGGTCATACATGGTTTCAGAGCCTCTATGATCAAATGATATATTGGTAGTAATGTTGTAGTTAGAGAATATATCTTTAGAATCCTTCCTAATTAGAGAAAATAGATGTATAATCTTCTATTTTATTTTGTTTCTCTAGTTTCCCTATTTTCCTTTTTAGGAGAATTAGTTTGTTACAAATAGAGGATATGAGAATGTATTTTTTATGATTTAGAATAATAAAAATCAGTCCTATTTTCTACTTGGTATGAGAGCTCCCGATCTTGGAGCTCCATTCCGTTGCACAATCGCACTATCGCCGCTGTTCACCACTGCTGCTGTTGTCGTTGCTGGTTGGGGTCTTGATAGGACAGAAAGGTGCGCCCAACACCAGTGACCACAACGTGGGAAGTCGCTCCGGGAGAGAAGCCGCCACGCGCCGCCACCATCGTCGACGCGTGTAGCCCACGCACTCACCTCTGATGAGACCCGTTGCTACCGCCGCCACAGACAGAGTTGCTGGAGCCTCCTGAGTCTTTTCCTAGGGTCGGTGACAACCCGTTTGGCCTATATTTGAGTAGATCTGAGTTTTAAGTTCTACTCCTTTTTTTTCGGTGTGATCCACACATCGTCGTCGGCTCGGGAAAGGTCACCGGAGCCCCCTGGTTGTGTTCTATGGAATGTCTGAAGTAAAAATTATTCCTTTGGGTCCTAATGACCTTCCAAATATTGGGACTACCTGTCGGTTGGATGGTCGTTATTTCTTACAATGGAGCCAATTTATTCGAAGGATTCTCAAGGGTCGTTCAAGACTTGATCACATAGATGGAGGAGGACCAAAACCAGACTATTTTTCTATTTGGGACAATGAAGATTCATTAATTATGACTTGAATGTAGCAATCCATGATTCCTCAGATAAGTAGAAATTATATGTTTCATTCTTCTGCAAAAGAAATATGGGATGATTTACAGAGTACTTTTTCATTAAAACCACCACTAGATCTTGATATGAAAGCTTATGAGGAGGAACTTGAGCATTTGAAAGCAATGGTTGAATGAATGAGTAAGCCCTCTGGATCATGTACTCTGTCCATAAAAGGTAAGATTTGTCTCAATACTGTTGGTCATGTGTCTCAAGGTATTTGGATCCTTGATTCCAGTGCAACTGATCATATGACACCTTTTAGTGTGTCCTTCGACTCATATGGTAAAAGAAATAAAGAACAACCTATATGCGGCTCTGGGAATATAATTTTGGACTCATCTATTGTATTGAAGGATGTTTTACATATTCCTTAATTAGCTACTAGTCTTATCTCTGTGCAAAAACTCACAAAAGGATTTAAATTGTTCAGTAACATTTTTTCCAACTTATTGTGTTTTTCAGAACGTTGCCACAGGAAAGATGATTTTAACTGCTAAGGAGCAGAGTGGGTTGTATGTTTTAGAGTTTGATGACCAAAGCAACACACAAATCATGAGTCAACAAGCTACATTTGAGACGTGGACAAAATCTCAAATATGGTTACATCATCAAAGGCTTGGGCATCCTTCATTTATTCTTATCAAGTCCTTGTTTTCCCATTTGTTTACCAAGGAGTCTGTTGAGTCTTTTAATTGTGATATTTGTCAATTGTCAAAACACCATCGTGCATCTCATCCTATTAGTAATAAAAAGAGTATTTCTTCATTTGATTTAATTCATTCTGATGTTTGGGGTCCTGTCATAGATTCTATTTCTGGAGCCAAATGGTTCGTTACCTTTATTGACGATTGTACCCGTGTTACATGGACATACCTTATGAAAAATAAATCCGAAGTTTTTCAAATTTTTGTTAATTTTTTCTGCCTTGTCCAAACTCAATTTGGAAAAAATATCAAAAGAATTAGGTCTGATAGTGGTACTGAATATGTGAATCATGAATTTCTCAATTTTTTGTCTCATAATGGTATTGTTCATGAACTAACCTGTGTTAATACCCCTCAACAAAATGGGGTTGCTGAAAGAAAGAATCGTCATCTTCTTGAAGTAACTAGAGCTCTTCTTTTTCAAATGTCTATTCCAAAAAATTACTGGGGAGAAGCTGTGTTAACTGCCACATATCTCATCAATAGGTTACCCACTCGTTTGTTAAATGGCATTAGTCCTATAGAGCCTCTATTGTCTTTTGTTCCTTCTTCTTCCCTAATAACGAGTCTACCTTGTCGAGTCTCTGGATGTGTTGTTTTTGTTCACTCTCATCATCCTAACCGGGGTAAATTAGATCCCAGAGCTCTTAAATGTGTCTTTATTGGGTATCCTTCTAATAAAAAAGGGTACAAATGTTATCATCCTTAGAGTCGTCGCATCTTTATCACCATGGATGTCACCTTTCATGAAACAAAATCCTTTTATGTCAGTCCACCACTTCAGGGGGAGAAAGCACTTGAAGTGGATGAAGTCTCCTTCTTGTCATTACCGTGTTTGTCTTTACAGGATGCCCAAGACCTGAGCAATGAAGCTACCATAGTCCACAATGAGGAAGAAGAGGAAGACAAATTTTTTGGCAAAAAATATGAAAGAAGAGAACAACCCACTTTGACTCACGAGCAAGAAAAATTGTCTACTCCGGAGGTGAGGATCCCTGAAGATATCAATGAGGAGGAGGTAAGTATTACTGAGGATTTACCCATTGCATTGAGAAAGGACAAAAGATCATGTGCTAAATATGCTATTTCATAGTATGTTTGCACTAACAATCTCTCTGATAAGCACAGAAGTTTTATTGCTGCCATTGATGGCACAAAAATTCCTACCTCAATCCAGGAGGCCATGAAACTTGAACATTGGAATCAAGCCATGAAAGAAGAGATGAATGCATTAGGAAGAAATTCAACTTGGGAGATTGTTGATAAGCCAAGAGACAAGAAGGCAGTAGGGTGTAGATGGATATTCACAGTGAAACATAAGGCAAATGGGACAATAGAAAGATATAAAGCTAGATTGGTGGCAAAAGGATATACCCAAACGTATGGGATTGACTATGCGGACACATTTGTCACAGTGGCAAAGATGAATATAGTTCGAGTTATTCTCGCTTTGGCTGCTCATTTTGGATGGGACATACACCAGCTGGATGTGAAGAATGCCTTTCTTCATGGAAATCTAGAAGAGGAAGTGTACATGGAGATTCCCCAGGCGTTGACGTGAAAAACTAAAGAATCAAGGTACGCCTCCTGAAGAAAACATTGTATGAGCTTAAGCAATCTCCTAGAGCATGGTTTGAAAGATTTACAAAAGCAATAGTTTCCTTGGGATACAGACAAAGCAAAGGAGAGCACACTCTATTCATAAAGCACTCTTCTACAGGTCAACTCACTTTATTGCTTGTCTATGTGGATAATATGATTATTGTAGGAGATGATGAAATAGGAAAATTGGCATTAAAAGATAAATTACTCAATCAATGAAATGCACCAAATATAAATCAATAAAAGACCCAACAAAACAGTAAGGAATGACTCAAAAGAGAAAAGGCACAAAAAGTAGCCAAAACTACCAAAAACGAACTTGAAAAAATGCTAACGACAACATCCTTGCAGCTTTGACCTTTGCGGAGGGTTTTACATATAACATTCTACACAGAACTCCAAATGAAGTGATTATTTTTTTGTTGGAAACTAGACTCAAAGGGCTTTCATTTGATTAATTTTATGTATTTTTTGGACAACTGAGCTAGATGCAATTTAAGTTTGAAAATCGTCACAGTTTGCTGCCAGAACAAATGATAGATGAAAAAAAAAACACACAACAAGACAAGTATGGAAATAACATCAATGACATGGAAGAATAAAGGATAGATAAGCACCAAAAGACTTAGCTGTTGAAGAACCAAAGCTCTTGATACCAAAAGATGGCAATGCTCTAACTAGGACAAGCCAAATCTAGAAGCAAATCAAGGCGTAAGTTCATGGATGAAGTTTGCGGAATTTGGTGGTGGTGAAAGGTGTTGATAGCTCATGGTTTTGGTGAGTTGTATGGTGAGGGAAGATATGTTTAAGGGTTCTCTAAGAGAGGTTGGGAAAACTCTTGGAGGAAGGTGGCTAGAGGAGACCACTTGGGTTGCTCTAGCCTAGGGTGACCTTAAAAGAGTAGTATGGCACAAAAATGGCAGCATAACTTTACTCTAAATCAAAGGTGATTACATGATGGAGAGCAACTCTATTTATAGGCTAAGGTGTCTCAAAATGGGCTAAAACTTTAACCTAAAAGAGCCACCTTGGTTGTCTTGGAGAGCAAGGAGAAATCCTCTTCAATAGGAGGGAGACAAGTGGCAAAAATCCTCTCAAATGAGAGAGTGACATGTGGCCACTATCTATGGAAAAACTCTCCATTCCTAGAGTGACATATGGCCACTAACTAGGAGGAAAACTCTCCAGTGGGAAGCTTCCACATGTCTAGGACGAAATTCTTCTCCCTTATTCTCCAAGCTTATCCAAAATGTTGACCCCTTGGTCAACACACCTATTTTGGAGGTCCAAGCATAGTCAACTTTGGGCCTTGACCCTTTGTTGACTTTTTTAGTCAAAATCCTATTCTACTTGGCCCAAAATACAAGGCCCAATTGAAGTCCTACACTACTAGGCCCATAATACAAAGCCCAAATAAAATCTAGACTGCTTGGTCCAAAATACAAAGCCCAAATAAAATCTAGACTACATGGCTCAAAATACAAGGCCCAAAATTATTCTTACTCTACTAAATTTTCTGATGACTTAAGATGGCCCAAGAGAAAGAGTCTAGGCCCATCTTCCATAGATGCCTCCAACTCTTCATGAATGTGCTAGGTCTTGGTAAGGGGTATGCCATCACATTGACTATGAAGATATATACTGATGCTGACTTTGTAGGTTCTATTACTGACAGAAAATCTACTTCTGGGTATTGTGTGTTTCTTGGAGATAGTCTGGTAACATGGAGAAGCAAAAAGCAAGATAGAGTATCTCATTCTAGGGCAGAAGTTGAATTTCGAGCTCTTGCTCAAGGAATGTGTGAAGGACTGTGAATGAAAATCATTTTGGATGATCTTAAAGTCAAAAAAGTGGATAACCCGGTGCAACTACACTGTGACAATAAGTCTGCCATGAGCATAGCCCATAATCTAGTACAACATGATAGAACCAAACACATTGAGATTGACAAACCTTTCATCAAAGATAATCTTGACAGAGGCTTTGTGATTACAACTCATGTTCCTACGGAACTTCGAATAGCAGATATTTTTACAAAAGGGCTTCCTCCGGGTAGATTTCAAGATCTTGTAGGCAAGTTGGAAATGATTGATATTCATTTACCAACTTGAGGGAAAGTGTTGTAATTAGAGAAGATATCTTTAGAATCTTCCTAATTAGGGAAAATAGATGTAATATCTTCTATTTTATTTTGTTTCCCTATTTCCCTTTTTAGGAGAATTAGATTGTTACAAATAGATGGTATGAAATTGTATTTTTTATGATTTAGAATAATAAAAATCAATCCTATTTTGTNATGTGCTAGGTCTTGGTAAGGGGTATGCCATCACATTGACTATGAAGATATATACTGATGCTGACTTTGTAGGTTCTATTACTGACAGAAAATCTACTTCTGGGTATTGTGTGTTTCTTGGAGATAGTCTGGTAACATGGAGAAGTAAAAAGCAAGATAGAGTATCCCGTTCTAGTGCAGAAGCTGAATTTCGAGCTCTTGCTCAAGGAATGTGTGAAGGACTGTGAATGAAAATCATTTTGGATGATCTTAAAGTCAAAGTGGATAACCCGGTGCAACTACACTGTGACAATAAGTCTGCCATGAGCATAGCCCATAATCTAGTACAACATGATAGAACCAAACACATTGAGATTGACAAACCTTTCATCAAAGATAATCTTGACAGAGGCTTTGTGATTACAACTCATGTTCCTACGGAACTTCGAATAGCAGATATTTTTACAAAAGGGCTTCCTCCGGGTAGATTTCAAGATCTTGTAGGCAAGTTGGAAATGATTGATATTCATTTACCAACTTGAGGGAAAATGTTGTAATTAGAGAAGATATCTTTAGAATCTTCCTAATTAGGGAAAATAGATGTAATATCTTCTATTTTATTTTGTTTCCCTATTTCCCTTTTTAGGAGAATTAGATTGTTACAAATAGATGGTATGAAATTGTATTTTTTATGATTTAGAATAATAAAAATCAATCCTATTTTATACTAGTAACTAGTTGAAGAGGATAAAAAGAAAAAGATAGAGGACATCCTGTTTGGATGGTGTACAAAAAAGGGCAAAAATAGGGAAATAGTCACGTGGTGTTGGAAAGCTACCTTAGTTACAGTCACTCATAGGTTACAATATCTTGGAAAGGGATGCTACATAAAATTGAGCAAAGAGTTAGCAGGCTGAGATCTTGCTTCGACATGAGTTGACCTAACCTTTCATTTGATCTATCCTGTCATTTTGCTGTACTAGGAAGGAAATTGTTTCCATCTGTTGCACAAATTTCTCTGGTTTAGATAGACATGTAGATCTAACATGTGAACCACATTGAGAGTATTTTCGAAACAACCCCGAAAGTCCTCTTTTTAGCCTGTCTCCTGGGTTGAACTTCATTAACAATTGTAATGAAAAATTTTGATCTGTCATCACAAAGGGGCTGATCATTATTCTGAATAAATTCTTTCATTAACAGTCTCTTTGATCCCTGAATTTTGATTTTTCTTGCCAGTTGTAACCTGCTGTTATTTTGATTGCTAATCTTCTGTAATGTCTTTGATCATGTCCTATGGTTTGACAGTGATCACAAAATGCATGCAATCTTTCTTGGTGCAGTTCAACAAAAAAGGCTATCCTTGTCTTTCCACTAGAATTTGCTGGAGAAGCTACTAATTTATGTCAATATGAATTTGGTTTAGTGAATTGAATTTAAGAAATCAAGACAATGAAAATAATAATGTTTTCTCAAAACCATAGAGGCCCATATGGATTTTATGATTTTGGTTTAGTGAAAATACTATGTGAGGAATTAGTTACAATTTTTATTTTCAAGAATAATGAAAAATAGTAGGCTAAATATTTTGGAACATTTTCTGTTTTGAATTCACATTTTTCTAGCACCTGAAAAGTAGATTGTTTAATATGATAGCTTCTTTATGGTTTTGGGTTTTTTCCCTCATCTTTTGTTGCTGGATTATTCCAATAAATGCTAATGTTAGAAACCCAAACTATAATTGTTTTTACTCATGACACTCATTTCATCTGATTTTCATAATTATTTACCCTATTCCTGTTTTTCACTTTCATACATGATTGTGCTGTTTCAGGAAAATTAATGTTTCATTTTCTTCTAAATTAAGCCAACACTTGCAATTGATGCTTGACAATGCTGTAAGAATTATTCAAGAAGATATTGACCTCCAGGCTATTAGTTGCTTAGGTTGTGATCCTACTTGTGATGATTTAAGTCCTCTTGTTTCTTCCGTGCATTGTTTTCTTTCATCCCCTGTATGTATCAAAATGAGGGATCAGAATTTGATGGGCTGTGCCCCATTTAGTCAGTTAATCCAATCTGTGGAGAGACTCTTGAAAGCTTTTGTTAATCTATATGAAAGTTATTCTCAGCATCTGATGAACCTTCAGAATGATACAATCATACAAGATATCGCTGCTACTGATAGTATTCAAAGTTCTTTTCCGAGTGACAAAAGTATGAGCAGGATTATGGACATGGAATTGGATGTTAATGATGATTCTAGAGAGGTTGATTGTTTAGCGGTTGGGAACAAAGTAGGCAGCGATGTTTCATCTTCTGCAGAGAAGTGGAAAATGAGCATGATATCAGTGATTTCCAGTTTTTTTTCTGCTTCTCTTCTTACCTGGGATGTCCTCTTTAAGTTAATGGAGAAAGAAAATGATCCTAAGGTAGAATTTTCACACAGTAATAACCGCAGTGTGTTCATGAATTTACTAGTAAAATATTAATATTTTCTTTCTGATTGAATAGTTCTTAACTTATTTTATTTTGGTTCTTTTCAAAATTCAGGTGCGTGGGAAAATATTGTATCATCTCTGTCAACATCCTCTCTGGTCTTCTTCTGGACAATTTATTGATTTGGTATGAAAATGAGTATAAATTTCTTTAAACTATATGAAACTGAAAAAAATAACATCTAGGTTCGTTGTGCTCTCTGTAGGTGAATCTAATGAATGATATAATTGTTGAGCAAGTTGGATTCAAGATTGCTTGTGATTCTGTATTGATTGCTGCTCATACTTTACTGATTAACTTATCATCCCTGGATGCTATTGGTAAGGAAAAAAGTGGCCTGTATTTAGCGGAAGTGGAAACTAAACAGGTACCTATGAATTTTTGTTTATGGATTTTGGTCTCGATTGGCTTCTAGGGACACAAGTCTATTCATTTTCTTTGATCGTGTATACAAAATAAATATGATTTGAAAAAGAAAATTTTAGGCATAGGATTCTATAATAGTGTAGTAGTCAATAGCAGATAGTAGAGGGGCACTTTAGTGGGGTAGTGGTAGTAGGATGTCTGCTATTTTGATCTCAAGTGTATACTTGAAAGAGTACAAATGAGAGAAAGAACTTGAGAGATCTTAACTTGGGTCTCTATGCTGACTCAGATTCATTTACATGCGCACACTCGTGCGCGCGCACACACACACACGCATATATATATATATATATATATATATATATATATATATATATATGTATATATATAAGGATCAATGGCTTACAATAGAGGCTAAAGGAAAGAGAAAGAAAAATATAATAGAGTTTAACCCTACAATTCTAAGATTTTTCCTCAAAATGGAGCATACAAATTGTATGTTTCATGCTTGGAGCGTATAAATTGAATTTGAGGTCGTCTCAAACATTGTTAAAATATCTTCAAATTGATGATTGTAGCTGACAAACTTGGTGCAAATTTTCTTGGACAAAATGATACTCAATTCTATGTGTTGTCCTTTTAGGAAACACTATGTTACAATTGATTTGACATCAAAGGTTACAAAACAATTTATTGATTTAGTTAATTGACTTAAAGAGATAAGGTTAAAGAAGGAGAAAGGGATTTACTAACTCCAAGATAAACAACTTTGGTTCCATAGGCTAAGGTTTGGGTTAGGAAATTTAGGAGAAGAAATAGCGATGAGGTATTACCAGAAATAGGATCTCAAGGATCTGATTGCATTATCCATAATATTTGACTATGTGTGTATTGTGAGATGCAGAAGGTTTAGGTAAGAAACAATTTTCTTGAGTATGAATCATTCTTTTACAATTAGACTTTTAAGTATGTCTTTGATCACCACACCCTCGTCTATTTCTAGTCCTCCCCTTCCAAAAGAGATACACTTCAGATAGATAAAAAGAGAAAATATTATTTTAGAGAGCTTAATTCTCCTGTCTTAAGTTCTCATATTTGTATTAACAATGATAGTTCTCAGATACAATTAGTAGAGGGAAGAGTAAAAATCAAGTAGTCATATCTAGAGTCATCGGTAAAGGGACATGTACAAAACAAAACAAATGTTGTTTTATTGTGTGATAACTGGATTTTTCTATTACTACATATAATGTCTTTACATTGTCATAATGGAGCTGTCTAGTCTATTACTCTAACCTACTTCTCTTTTCATTCCAGACTTAATATCTAAGTAAACATGGCTTTTGGTTAGAAAAGTAACGAAAGAAATTTTAAATCTCTTACGCAAACTGACATATCAATTAATTTGTTCTTGCAGTGCTTTCTGTCACTAGGAAATGTTGTGCATAAACTTTCCGAGGTTGATCTTGATTGGTTTGGACGGGTGAAGCTTATTGATTCCATTTGCAATCTTGTTTTGCTCGATCCTCAAATTGGTCAGGTGACTTTTAGATTTTTCTTGCCTAGAATTTCCATGGTCCTACTGGGCCTAGTGCAGTGGTCTTAATGGCATGATAGAGAGAATAAACATAATAAATAGATAACTTGGATTGATGTGAAGTAGATAATATTGGCAATGCCATGCATTGACGTGCTCAAGATAACCAAAGGCTGGTTAATTGAACTCGAGAGTGTTGATCATCTTTTCCGTTTCTTTAAGGAAGATCCCTTTCCCGGCTAACTCTTTAATCTTGTACACTTCATGGATGAGAATTTTGTGAGATGTTGTTTCGTTCTACCTCTACATTTCTCTCTACTAATAACTTTTAGAACTAGCTTTATTTCTTTTTAGTTCAATGCTTGTGATTCCATTACTTCTGTTTTGACAGACTATGATAGAACGCTTACTTCTTATGCTTAAGGATATGGACTATCGAGTTCGGTTATTCTTGGCAAGGAGGATCAGTATTCTTTTCCAGACATGGGATGGTCATGAAGAGCTCTTTCAGGACATTTGGTGGGTTGCATTTTAAATGGTTGCATGTAGTTTATTTATCTAGGACAATTTAGTCATTTTTAATATAATACCTTCCTTTGCAAGGGGTTTTTTGGGAGGTTTTGGGTATTAGTTTCTGCTATTAATTAAATAGTAGTTAAAAGCTATTTGTGTTTTCATGTGAGCATAGGTTGTTGTTAGTCATTAAACCTTCAATTTATGTTTTTGTTGTTGTTTTTCCAGTTTGAATTTCGGTGTTCAGATGGTTGTCTACTCCAAAGGAAAAGTCATCCATGCAAAGGAGGTGCTAGGTGCTGGTCCTCAGCCTCAAGCTATAATGGAAACTGTTGTGATTACTCTCATGCATCTTGCTTTACACAGTGAGAAAATTGAGTTAGAGGTAAACTATTGATTATGGATTTTGTTTTTATCTTCTTGTATTGTTCTGTACCACCTGTCCCTGGGAAATGTTATTCTGATGTATATGATACATGTTCTGGATTTCCTTTTATTTTACTATATTTGTATACACATTCATATGAATTATACAAAGCCCTGTGAGTAATTGGTGACCCTTGTTACCATTATGCAGGCTGTTTTCATGATATGTGTGGTTTCGGCCATTGATCCTTCTCATAGGTAAAGGTATTTTTCCTTTCCATTATAAAGCTTTCACTGTAGGTTCTTATATTGTGCAGTTTCTTTTAGGGAATTAGTCTATGCAGTACTCGACAATCTGTCTAGAGAGCTTCAGTATCTGACTAGAATGAAGGTAATTAATGCTATGCTATTTCTCTAGTTGAGATTTTAGTTACATATGCTTTGCCTGTATGTCTACATCTCGGTATTTTTTGAATGTGCTTGAGATCCAAAGGCACTTTTGTACAAGAGAAAAAATTGATTGTTACACAGAATTTTGGTTATAGTATTTTTCATGAACAAAAATTTTAAATGAGTACAGCACATAATGTATGTGCTCCAAAATGGTAAAGGAGAAAAGAAGTACAAATAAATAATCAAGGATGGAAGCATTGTCATGAGCTAAACGCTAATGAGAGACAATAAATGAACATAAAGTGTGTGGGCATTCTTGAATTTAGAGTAAATAAAGGCTTTTCTTTAGTAAATATTCAATGATTGATTTGTTGAACATGATATGATAGGATAAGAGAATAACGTATGATAAATTATTGACATATAGGATAACACCAGGATAAGTTAATCTTACCCTATCTAGTGGCAAAGGATAACAAACTACATAATATGCCAGGATATAAATTATGTTAAAATGATAAATTTTCATTACAATTACATATCATTTTCTAAAGGTTGACTTTTAATTTATATTTTAAACATTATGGAAATTGTGAAAAACATAGTTTTAGCTAAACTATAGAATATTATATTTATTTATATAACTATTTTTTGTATCTTAAAACTCTATATAAGATATTAAAATTATAACTAATATTATAATAATAGTTATTTAATATATTATATTAATATAAATGCTAATTGATATAAGATGATATGTTAAATAAAAATTACGGTACGTATTATATAAATTAATTTCTCATATCTATTAATGTTAGCAAAATTATATTTTATTTATATAGTTACTTTTTCTTGAAATTGTAAACAAATTATATAAGTTTTCGGAAATTAGTATTATGATTCACACCTTTTTCTTGAAAAGTACTTTAGTTGCTATTATAATTTAAATTTAGGAGTCAATGTTATTTAGATCACATAGAGTAAGAAATTTTAACCTATCATGTCGAACCTAATCTATATGTCCCTTTAGGATAAGAGATACATCACTGGGACACAGTAATATAAGTGATAAGGTAATGTTATATAACATAATGTGGGTGCCACAGATTTTAAATTACAATAACATGGTATAGTTATCCTATTCTATTGTATCATATCCTAATTGCCAAATGGATTCTATAATCTGATTCGGTTTCTATCACTGCAATATGGTCTTCAACCTTTAGTTGACTTGCATTATAGCAACATTTTAGCTTTTTTTTTTCTCTTTCTTATGAATGCTGGGTATGCAAAAGCCTTACAGTATAGATGCGACACCACATTCTAGTTGTGATAATGGTTTTTCAATAAATTATTTAGTTATGCATTCAAAGATTAAAACCCTTACGAATAAGTAATTGTTTCTTTGAATTCAAATTTTTTTGATGCAGTACTTAGAAGAGCTTTTGGGATCAATTCTCTTTTGTTGGGTAGAATGTGGTGTAAGTTTAGCTGCACTTATTGAGGTAATATATGAGGTGAAGTTCAAGGTAACACCTTGTTTTTACTTTTTTAATTTATGTACACTGTCACAGCCTGTCAGTGGAAGGCCAGTTGTGTCACGTATATGTATTTAACATCAACAAGGTAATGTATTCTTCTTAGGTTTATTCCACAGAAAATTTTACTAAATCTTCAAAGAGTTTGTTAGAGATCTTATATTAACTAGAGATATGGTTAAATGATAATATGTCAGAGAGTGTAAACCTTCGAATTCAATTTGTAAGGTTGAGTTAAATTTAAAGTTCATTTACTAACCGGTGAAGTACTTCAATTATTTAAGAAAAAAAAGAGTAATTTTAATTGATAACAATTACACTGATTACATTCTCATCATCTCTATTACAATAATCAAAACCTTTAAAAAGGGAAATGAAAGTATTTTGAAACGAATTAGAAGATTCTTAAGATATTTTTTCCTAATTATTATGGAGATATTGAGAATATTTTTTATCCTAATAATTTCTTTTTGTATAGAAGTATGCTGAAATTAATACTTTCCCTCAAGTTATTACATGAATATCAATCATTAACAACTTTCCTACAAGATCCTAGAATCTACCGAGGAATCCTGTCACTGAAAATGCTTTCTAATTGAAATCCTATAGGAAAATAGGATGTAATCATTAGGCCTAGTGCTTGTCAATTTCAATATGTTGGAAATTCCACAATGACTAGAGATAAGGCGAGTTTACAGTATATAAATGGGTACAAACCACACCTTACAAGTTGGTTTTATAGGATTGTAGGGTTGAAATCCTCAAGCTGAGGTGCCATGGGTAGGTCGATAGGTTGTTAGAGAATGAAGCTAGCGTAGCGGGGAGGTTGTTAGATGTGAGAGAATAATTTATTTAGTCTCATGAAGTTGAGGGGAGAGAGGGGAGATGATGTGAATTTTTGTTGTAGGAGCTATTGGAGGTTTATTCTTTTCATAGTTTCATTTTAATGACCATCTAGAGTTCTTCACACACTTTGAGCAAGGGCTTGAAATCCATCTTTTGTACTAGAACGAGATACTTTATCTTGTTTTTTGCTTCTCTAGTTCACCAAATTTTGTCAGCAATAGAACCTGCATCATTTTGCTTGTCTAGCCTTGACTTCAAATATAGAAGAATTTTGTAACTCTTGCTTCAATTACCTATAAACTAACTTATCACACTATTTGCACAAGTAATGTTTGGCCTCGTGTGTGATAAATATATTAGTTTTGATACCAATCTATGATGTTGGGTTTTTAACACAAGAGGGCATTTAAAATTTTTTAGGTTCTACATCTCAAGTTACCTCTTTCTCTATAGAGATCAAGTACATATTTTCTTTGGAAGAAGATTATACCCTTTTTTGAATAAACAGCCTATATTAAAAATAAATACATAAGTTTTCCCTCAAATTGTGCTCCCAATTTTTTTAATGGAAGCCACTTTCTTAGTTTCATTATCTTTTGGAACAATCACATGACATCCACATTGACCATCAATAGTGTAAGTTTGCCCATAAAGGAGTGCTTTATGAATAAAGTATCATGTACTTGGCTTTGCTTACATCCTATAGAAACCATTGGTTTTGTAAATCTCCCAAACCATACTCTTGGAGGTTGTTTAAGATTGTATGATTCGTTGTTTAGGAGGCATAGTTTATTTCTTCCACTGAGTATCAAACCCAAGAGGAATCTCCATGTACACTTCATCTGATTTATTTCATTCCAAACATAATTTTTCTACCCTCTTATTTTGTTCCCTGGATAGAGATAAGCTTCTTCTTGATAAAGTTTGCAAATCTAAAATTCTATTTCTATGTTTTTACTTTGATAGTGGTATTCTTTTGCTGTACTGTGATGAAATATTTCTTTGCCATAAATAAAAAAGTTTCTGCTTTGCAGACAAGACAGCTTTTCTTACCTGATGTAGATCCTGGTCATTTCCTCCAATATTGCTGCCCATGGCTACTTCCTGCTCTTCTTATCAATGAAAACAGTTCTGATCTGAATTGGGTTGCCAAGGTATGATCAGTTTCTTAGTGATGAGATCTTTGGTACTATTAATGAAATTTCTATCGTTAGAAAATAAGTAAGATGGCATTACCATGAAAAGTGATACAAGTATTTGCACTGCCTTATATATTGCATGTTTTGATACTGGCATTCTAATACTTGTTTATGGGTTTGTCTGGAACAAACTTTTTCGTAAGGAGAGAGAAAAATAAGGAAAAGTGAAATCAGTATCATTAGCTATAACTAACCTATGCATGAGTAAAAACCATGTTTTTCTGAAGCTCCTAATATGAAATAACTTCTACAAATTAGCTTCTATATGGGTTAATTTTAGATTATGGAGAAATTAATTTTTTTTTTCTTTAGTTTTTTCTCCTAGAAGTACTTGTGGAGAAATTTGTCCAAAAACTGACATTATTTTTGTTTATTCTGGATCTAACAAACTTCCTTTATGCAGGTCGTTTGTCAACCTTTGACAGTCCTTATAAAAAATCACTTCACTTCAATATTTTCAATTTCCATGGCTTTGCATTGCAGTAAGAAACCGGGATCAGAGAAGGGAACACTGGTACTTCAGAGTTCCATTTTGCATTTTGGTCAGATATCTGAGAAAGATCGTGACAAGCTCATAAAGAGACATATGGTATTCTTGAAAGCATTCTACGATTTTTGTTTTAAAAAAGATAATCTTTCTTTGTGCTTGGTTATGTGTTGACTACAATTCAATCTTCTTTCAGTTCAAAGTTCTTTTAACGTTTTTTTCTGCTATTTTATATGAAAAGTTTTGTGCCCTTAATTTTGTTCTTTCCTTCAGTTCAATCATATGCACTCTGCCATCATATATGTGTAGTGTTGCAATTAAGATACCAGCTTTTGGCATGACTAATAGTAATATCTTTTGTATTATTATTAACTGAATTTGTTTAAGATACATTTCTTCACTATGTAATATTATATTCTTGAACTTTGTACTTTTAGGTCTCTATTGTCAGCTGTATCTTATCTTTGTGCTCTTGTTCATTGAATGCCATAGTCCCATATTTTTCAAAGGATATAGTGTCCCTTGAAATTCGAACAATTGTTGATGGATTTTTGGACTTGTGAGTTATCTTTTATTCCTTGGTATTCATCTTTTTTTTTTTTTTAATTTGAGTTTGTTCTTATAATGAAATATATAATTATTTTGAGATGTAGAGATGATAATCATGCAAGTGCTTCTGTTGTGGACAAGATCAACATTTTTCGCCCAGATAGGGTTTTCATGGTAATTTCATGACATAAATCTTTGCAACACCATTTTGTTATCCTTTTACTTGCTTACCATTTCCTTTCCATTCCAAGGGTTTCTAATAAATTAAATTATTTTGTAATTGAAGTTTTTGGTAGAAGTTCATTATAAAATTGTAGCAGCAGCTCATTACAGGCATAAGTGCCACCGATTGGCAGGAATTGAGGTGCTTGTGACTATTCTCGGTCAGAGAGCTGCTGTTTTAAGCACTTCCAAGTAAGTTCTATGGACTGAAATTTATTTACGGCTTTTAAGTTACTGGTACTCAAAATCTGTTGTATCTATAGTGATGATGGCTTTGATTTCTGACCCTAGTACTGATCATGGGCTTCCATGTTGTGTAAATGTAGTTACCTTCTCAACTTGACTGGGTCATTAATTGAATGTCGCCCTTTACAAGACCAATGTTGTCAATTACTCAATGCATTATTGGTACAGCTCAAGAGGAATATTTCTACAGATGTGACCAGTATGCTTGGAGAACAGCTCCAGGTATATTCTTTTGCATTTTTGCACGTTTTTCAACACTTGGTGACTATTTAAACTTATGTTTTGTATAATGTGTTCTATCCAGTTTATTGTTTCGAAGTTGGTGGCATGTTGCACTCCTTCTAAAACCCAGGAATTGTGTGATAGCTCTGCATCACAAGCTTTATCTCTGCTCCATATGTTAACCGTGGACTCTGATTCATCTATGTATGATTATGTTAAAGTGAGTATCTGATATTCAGCTGGTATATGTTGTATTAAGGTTCTGGTCTATTACAACTTGGAGATAAAATAAAATAATTTCTTACAGGAATTGGAGCCATTCCCTGAACTAAAAATATTTGATGAGATAAGAAAGTTCCACAAGGAATTATGCCACACTTATTCTATACGTGACCACTTAACAAAGGTAAATAAATATAATTTTCCATTGTGTTTTTATGGCTGTACAATATCAAGTTTCAAGATAATTTTATCTTGTTATGTGATACATTTTTATTTTCAGTTTGTGGAGAAGTCTTCCTACCTTCCACCACGGTTGCTTTTATCAAGGTGGCTTCCTTTTCCATTCCTATGCTATTACATTCCTAGTTTTCAATGATTATGGACTTATTTATTTGAACATTCTCGAGTTTAGAAGAAAATAGTCTCTCTTATTCAGTCTCATTGGATACATATGTTATATACATACATTGATTGGATAGTTTAGGAAACAGGAACAGCCTATTCAATGAAACAAATCTCTGAGATTGGGGGATTGATCTGCTAGTAATAAAACTAAGATGCAACCAATTTACAAAATTAAAACCAATAAGAATAAAATCTGAGACTTCCTAAAATACTTTAACAGAATAAAGTCTAAAGCATCCTAAAGTATCTTGATAGAACAAAACCTAAAACTTCCTAAAATATCACAATGAATATATTGATTAAAATATTAAATGGACAACATTATAGTTTCTGGTGATGCTTCATTCCTGAATTAGTTTTTTCTCAGTCTCCAGGCATTCCACAAGAAGTTACTGAATGAAGAAACACTTCAAAGAAGAGGGAAAGCAGGGGGTTTTTCTGGAGATGGATGTTGGCAGGGTGATGAAGAAATTGTGCATGCAGTTTGGAAACTTGTTCACATGTGTCGTTCTAGTGATGCAAGTGAAGTTCGAGAATTAGTTTCAGATTTCATTTCTAGGGTATTATTTTTATTAGTTTTAGACTTTTCTGACATACTGCAGTCAAACTTTCTCTCACTTACAGAAATTTAGCTCCTTCATTGTTGTTGTGCTTCTTCAGGTTGGCACTGGAGACCCATACTCTGTTGTATTCCATCTTCATGACAAGACTAGTCATATTAGTCTTGGTAAATCTATTGATACCAGCAGTGCAATAGAAATCAGTTCTGACATGGATGCATGCTTATCTGAAGAACATTTGGTTGTCCTTATGAAAATTCTAATGAAATATGTGATGGATGACTCTGTGAAAATTGTTGATATGGCATCACAAACCCTTCGTGTAAGTCTTCCTAATAGAAAGTCTTGTGATCAGTCAGCAATCATATTTTACTATTCTATATCTAGCATATTATAATTAATATATATATATATATATATATATATATATATATATATATATATCTGATGTACACTTAACAATAAAATCATTTTATTCCATCCTAATATTTGAGATAGTATTAGAGCGTTCAAATCCTTAGCGCTGCTTCAACTTGTGCATCCAAACATCCTAGATGACTATTATATAGGACTTGCATATCATATCACTTGATGATAACAGAGAATACAAACTAGTATATATAGGCTTTAAAGCCTTCTAAACAGGTTACAAAAAAGTAAAAACTAACATCATGTTGAATAACTGAATGTCGTCAATATCTCTATACCCTTGCTCAAGCTCAAGGTGAGGAATTTTTACAAACAAAATCCTTTTCAAAACAATTAGAGGAGAGGGCTTTGCGAGAACATCTGCCCTCTGATCCAAACTAGAAATAAGATAAACTTCGAGTTGTTTGGACAACACTTGATCATGAATACAAAATATGTCAATCTCCATATGTTTTGTTCTAGTTTGGAAAATTGGAATATGTGCTATAGCAACAACACTTTTATTGTCACAGAGCATGCTTGGAGTCACTTGTGAATGCACTCATCTAGAGGTTTCAACAATGTCTTCAGTTCATTTCTCTCCCCTTGGAATCTGACTGGGTTGCTGTCAAACGAATTCTCCACTATCTCATAGGACCACGTCCTATGGTCTTCATCTGTGTGCTGCCTTTTCCTCCTCTCCTTTCACCCTCACTGTGCTGTGTGATGACTGAGCTTCTGACATTGATGACCGTAAATCCACCTCTGGTGCTAAGTACCACAAATTAGCCCAAGCCTCTACTGAACTTTCATGGATTCAAGCACTTCTGCAAGAACTACACATTCTGTTTTCCAGTCCTGTTCTTCTTTGTGACAACCAAAGGGATGTTGTTGTTGCCCACAACCCTGCTTTTCAATCCAAAACTAAGCATATAGAAATTCATATGGTAAACAAGTGTTGTCCCAGCAACTCGGGGTCTCTCATATTCCTAGTTTGATTAGTGGGATGATGCTCTCATTAAACCATGCTCTTATGCTCGTTTTCAGTTCCTCCGCTTCAAACTCAATGTGCTGGATTTCATTCGTCCAAATCCCTCACTTGAGTTTGAGGGGGCTATTAATGTTATAAGTTTACTGTTTGTTGTTTGTTTTCTTTTCTTGTTTTGTAATACAGTTCTATCTCTTTTTCTATTTTTTATTTTTCTTTATTTTGTAATTTTTGTTGGTTACACTAATTTGTATACACCCATAACTGCCCATAATGTCTCTCTTTCTCTCTATAAGTTCTGCCTGGCAGAACTGCACTGTGCATTGTATCCTTCTCAAACACTTGATATTAAGCATTGCTTTTACATAGTCACAACTGTTTTCTTTGGTTTTTCAAAATCTATTACTATTTAATAATTTCATTTGGTTTGGATTTGCAGGGAATACTTTCAACTAAAAGAGGTCAACATGCTTTACAGTCGTTCGATTCGTACCAGAAGTCTCTGATTGAGGTAATATTTAAATTTTGGCATCAAAATATTAGTTTTCTTTATAAATTTCATTTTAAAATTTGTTAATTGGACTTCGAGGACAAAACAATAGTGATAAAACACGTTACAGTTAAAAGCTTAACAATCATTCATTATTACATGAAAATCCACAATGAAAACCAAGAAAAAGGGATACAAAAAACATGGGGGACCGAAATGAAATCGTCCATATTTGAAACCATAGAAACTGAGAAGGATTGTAGTAAATCTTGTGTGTTTTTCACTTCCCATTCTTCATAGGCTAGGTTTATTTTTCAAAAAACTCAGTCATCATTCAAAAGAAAGTGCAGAGGAATCATTGGGTTTACAACAAATTGATAGTCTACGTGACTTTATGATAGGTTCAACTAGTTGTTTCAGTGAAGATAATTGAAACCAAGTTTTTGAGCTGTAGAACTGGAAAAATATTGGGATGCGGAAGTGAGGGAATTTGAATTGGCCATTGAAGAACAATCCTTGGCTCACGATGCCATGTCAAAGTTTTAGGTATGTAAGAAAACAGAGAAAAGAATGACAGAGAGAGTGGATTATTATTTCACCAAATGAGAAGGAATATGCAAGTTGAGCATATATAGGCTCAAGAAGAGGTTAGAACAGTAGCAAACTAACCATTACAGAAATACAGGAAATATAAAAAGCAGATTACTAACTAACATCCAGTTGAATAACTGAATGTTAACTTTTATATGTCTTGTAATTTGAAATTCCTTTAGAATTTGAATCCTTGCCTTTATAATGACACAATATCTTTGTGACAAGAGAAGAAATTCAAAAGTTTAATGAGCTAAGAAGATTCAAATTGTTTAATCCAAAAGGTTTCCTAAATTTTAACCCTTTCTTTACTTGATTATTTTTATAATATGGATAAATATGTACACTTCACAAAATTAGTTAGTTATAAAAGAATGTGAAAGTATGTTTTTTTTTTATCATTCCATCACAACGGGACAATATTCCTCTTTTTCACTGAGATGATGTTTCAAAGGTACTAGTATGCTAATCTTATCCATTAATTTTTAAGAATTTTGGTCAAATGGATTAAAAATAAATAAAACCATGCTTGTCATTGTGCATTTAGGAAGTTGTTTATTTTGTTCTTGCTGTAATATAAATCTTTATTACAGGTGGATCTTGCTATTAAAATTGGGATTATGTATTTTAAAACAATCTCATAATTACAATTTGTTTCCTTAAAATTAGCTCTATATTTCCTAAAATAAAAAGCAGGCTCATGTTTTTGTACAGCCAATCTCATTATTTAAATATAGAAGAAATATATTATTCTTTCTAAATTTGAAAGTGATTATAAAATTATAATAATATAATTTTTTTTGTTTAGATATGTGTAAAAAATAAAAATAAACATATAAAACATGAATGTGTTCTTCAATGTGATGTTAATGTTTTTGTGTTTGATACTGAAATAATGTTAGGTTACAGTATATAAGTGGATGGAAACCTCACCTTGAAAACTGGTTTTATGATGTTGAGTTAGGCTTAAAGTCCTTTCTTAACCTATTATTAGAACATTGGGTTAGAGCCAATCCTAACGAAGTTTGATGTATGTTGAGTTATCCACTGTCGAGCCACTATTGGACCATCCATTAATGTCTAGTCCTACCTTTGAGAAGTACATGATTCAGTGAGAGGGAGTGTGTTGAAAATCCCATATCGACTAGAAATAAGGCTAGGTTACAATATATAAGTGGGTGCATATTTCACCTTAAAATCAATTTTTTAAGGTTGAGTTGGACTTAAAGTCCATCTCTTAACATAAATAAAAAATTATATATATTATTATGAATAGAATAAATTAAAATTAAATGACCAAATTTTTGTCCCAATTTCTATGCTTTGTGTGGTAATCATGCTACTTTGTTTACGACATCTAATAATGCAAAAGTGATGGGGTGCTAAAAGGTTGGGTGGCTAAGAAACTTAGATGATATAGTGATGACCGATAACCCTTTCAAATACATGGTTAGGTACTGAAGTGCCACACATTTTTTTGGTTTGATGTTATGGTTTAACATGTTAGTTGAGCAGAATTGTAAGCATGGGAGACACTGTTTATTGTTTGAAGGAGTGTTTCTTATTGTGGATTTATTGTCTTCTACTGCAGGTGCATTCCAAAGGTGTCAATGCTGAACTTGTGGAAAATCTCCTTTTGGACCTAGATAGGAAGTCAAAAGGTATATCGGTTGGTGTGTGCACAACCATGTTATCATGAATTCCGGCAAAATTGATCTGATCAGAGTTAATGTTCTGGGCCACTATTAATCTAGTAGTTTAATTAGACATTGTGATAGCATTGGATTTTATAGTGTTTTCCTTTTCATCGATTTTTATTCCAGTCTTTATATTCTTGCAATTGACTACAAATGGTGGAAGATGTTTTGACAAGTTGTTGTCTTTATGAAGTTGAGTCTTTGAGGTTTAGCTTTTTTCAAGGTTTAGTTTTTTCAAAACATACAAAGCTTGAGAAGCGGTACAAACTTTCCAAACATTGCTTCTTATTGTTAGTGGGGCAAGCACAACTGTCTCCAAGGTGAATTTCTGGGCTAACCAATCACTTCAAATGGTGTTTGGGGTCCGTTCTAGGGTGGCAGTGAATGCTTTTCTTTCTACCCAGGCAAGTGTAATGGGTGGTGATCTGATTGGGGGAATTAAGTTACAAGTACATGCCCATTTTTGTAGTTTTATGCATGTTGATCTTATACTTGGCCTGGAATGGTTTGAGACATTAAGAGAAACACTCTTATACTTGTGCAGTGATATTGACAAAAATTGGCATGCTTTTAAGAGTCAAATAAGTCTAATAATGTAGTCTAAGTAGCAATTTAGATACATTACATTTGAGAAGATGCTTTACATATTTGGTACTTTGAAATCAAAATCATAGTTGACACCTCCACTGGTACGGGAAAGTTCTTTCTTTAAGGGAATTCATACTAAAGCTTATTAGTAACATTTAGTCAGTGAGTTTTCTCTCATTCCGGCCTCTATTTCTTTCTGAGTTTTTTTTTTTAATTGTTATTAGCCCTTTCTTTGTAACTAAAATATTAACTATTTTTTGTGTTAATGTTTAATTTTTTCAGGTGAAGCAACTTCATTGGAGAAGTCAACTGTGTGGGTGACAGATGGTAAAACTTTTGAAATGTGGATTTGCCCATTGGTGTATTCACTTATTGCTTACTGCAGTGATGCGATACTAAGGTATTGTGAACATATCTAATTACTTAATTGTTGACAATTAAATGGTGATTAGTTGTTAGCATTATCAACTTGCAGGCCTTTATCAGGCTCTTTTTTATTTGTTTTGCACCTCTCATTTTCCTACCCTATTGTAATTCAGACTTTGTCAAGATATTATAATGTTTAAAGGGGAAGTTGCTGAGTTTCTTTTGCCAAGCATTTTTGTCAATATCACTGCAAGGAAGGATCTGGAGATCGATCTTCACAAATTGATCAGTATGCAGGTTGTACTCTACTAATGGAAGGCACCTCTTCCCTTTCTTATTTTTTTCAGAGAGCTTACTTAGTCATTCAATTTTTCGTTCATAATGATAATGATATGACATTGATTGTATTACCGCCTGTTTGGCTTAGAGTTAATAAGATTGTTATTTAAATTGCTGTGAATGTATGGCTTCTGTACATAAAGTTCAATTACATTTTTTTTTGCTTGTTAAGTTGAAGTGTCGTTGAATTTTGCAGTTGACAGAGCATGTATTTACAGAGTCAAATAAGTTGATGAAATCGATTCAAGTGGTTTTGAATAGTCTTAATGAACTTCGTATTCGTTATGTCATGGAAAGATGTTCATTTGTGCCATTGAAGCGAGAAGTTTCTAAGGTGAATATAATTCAGCTGTCCTATTTTCTGTAATACATTTTGACATGCTTGAGGCAGTGAATATTACAACATATTATTAATGAAAGGAATAAAATAAGTCTTCAATTTGAGTTATGTATTGAATAAATACAATCATGAATGAGAGGAAAAATATAATTCAAAGTTTCAAATATATCTTTTAATATATTTCTGATAGGAAGCTAAAAGTTATCTACTGGAAAATGCCCTAAAATCTACTGTTAGAGGTATAAAGATGATAAACATTGTAAAAGATATGATTTGATCTTTGTAATTATGGAAATGTGTGCAGTTGATAGTTATGGATATTCTCCATTATTACGTATCCCTATATTATGGGTTGAATGATTATAAATAAAGAATTTACATGTTTTAATAAACACAATTGAAAATAAAACAGAAGCTCTTTATGGTGTCATAGAGCTTGGTTTTCCTTTTGTCCCTTCCATTCCTCTCCTCTTTTGCCACTCCACTGTTCGGATAAATTGGCTCATGCATTGCCACAATCCTCTATTAACCATATTTGAATCCACCACCTTTCTCTCACAAGCAAAAGCCACCCTCGGATCATCATCGTGTAAGAATTTCCACCTAACTCCATACCTCTAAAATATAAGACATGTTTGTCTCATGTGCCAGCCTCATATTAGCATCCAATGCTGTGTTTTGGCCACCCATCCTCTTGTGACATCCCCACCTTTCTTCTCCATCTCCAACAAACACCTTCTGCTCAATTTACTCTTACTTTCACCAACATACCAATGATCCCATGCAAAAGACTCATAGGGATAGCAAATTAGAACACTTTGCTATCTAGTTATGGTTTCAAGGGCAAGGCAGACCTTGTCATTTCACAACTCCAACCTTTGTTATTGCCTCCACTAAGAAAATTTAGTATGCTTTGATTCTCTCTCTATCCCCCAATATGCAGGCACAATATTGGGTCCTTACACCTTGCTATGATGTATGGACAAAGGCCAAGAAATTTTATTCATAAAGTGTTCACTGTTTCTATATTGTACTCACCGGCTTTATGAACATCAAGTTGGAGAACATTGACACGCAAAGCAGCACACCCACACAATACTGGGCAAAAACAGTATATTATTCTGGTAATCAAGAATACACGGTAGAGCACCCAACTCTCAAGGGAGCACTCTCCCTCCACAAGAACAACCTCCTGTCAATACAATGAATATCAAAAGCTACCTTTGCACAAGACCTCTGTGCCTTCTTATAAAGGTCCCCCAACCAACTAACAACTAATTCCTAATCTGTTTCCTTCTCTCCTACACCCATTATATCTTATCACATTATGTCCTATCATTGGATGGATTCGCTGGAGACAAGGTTGGAGGAATTAAAAGCAAAGACACGTGGTATACGCCAAGAACTCGGCAGGTCAGATCAAGTTGATAGACTTCTTTGGTTAAGAAATCTATCTATAACTCAAAACAGTGCACACACACACAGAGAATACTGGACAAAAATAGTATATTATTCTAGTTATCAAGAATACATTGTACAACACCCAACTCTCAAGGGACTCTCAAGGGAACACTCTCCCTCTACAGGAACAAGCTCCTGTCAATACAATGAATATCAAAAGCTACCCTTGACACAAGACCTCCCTGCCTTCTTATAAAGGCCCCCCAACCAACTAACCAACTAACAAATAATTCCTAATTTGTTTCCTTCTCTCCTGCACCCATTATATCCCATCACATTATATCCTATCACACGCAAACTCTTAGAGATACTTAACAGAGAAAGGAGAGAGAAAAACGAGCTTGAACTGAATGTTTTTATTATTGTGACTTGCTTAGAGTCATAGGTACCATGTGTATTTATAGATGTAGTCTACTACTACTGTTATAGAAACTGACAGTTATACAATTACAAAGAGAAAATGAAGTTGTACAATTATAAGTAAACCTACATTTGTACAAAACCATTGTAAACTATACAAGTCAACTATAGTAAATTGTAGTATGTATACTAACAGCCCCCACAAACTCATTGAGAAGATTTTTTAGAAGAAAAACTCTTCACATTTTTGCCACGACAAAAAACAAAGCGAGCTAAAGACATTGACTTGGTTAAAACATCTACCCATTAATCAAGAGCTGGAATGTGAGAAATGCATAATTGTGTGATTATGAAAAACAGGATTGTGAGTGTTGAATATAGTGAAAAACTATATTTGAATTAATCTCCCTTGTGTAAAATACACACATAAGGTTCTCTATTTATAATAGAAGAAATATGGGCTAAGCCCAAAATACAAATGAGAAATAATAACAAACTAACTAAAAAATAAAAGATATAATATATCTAACAGTGAGTAATGGAAACAACACTTTGATTGTCACAAAGAAGAGTTGGAGTGCTAGAAGAGACTTGAAGTTCTGTAAGTAATTTGGATATCCAGGACAATTCAGCAGAAGTTTGTGCTAAACTCCTATATACCTGAAGTAGATTTTCTAGCATCAACATCAAAAGCCCAGTCAACATCCCTAAAAGCTTGCAAAGAAACTGGACTATGTAGCAATCCTATCTGAAAATGTAAACCAAGAAACAGCGTTCCTTTTAGCTATGTTAAAATATGTTTGGTCACAACCCAGTGAGAATCAAGTCGATTGGCCACAAATTAAGAAACATTTTTTATAGCAAAACTAATTTTTGGCCTAGTAGGAGTAGCATAGTGCAATGCACCAACTACTGATATCTGAGAATAGATCAACACCATGTTTAGATAATTTGCAATTTGAAATCATAGGAGAAGAAAGGAATGAACTTCAGCAATTTGAGTTTTATGAAAATCTCATATTTTCTCTGAGCCATAAGAACATATTGATTAGGTAAATGTTTGATCTCAAGTCCAGGAAAACAATCCAATTGACCAAGATGTTTTAAGGAAATGGTTGCATTAAGTGTGGCTGTGACATTCTGAATCAGACTAATAGAGCTTCTAGTTATGATGATATCATCAACAGAAACCAAGAAATACATAATCTCTTATTCTTTTTTTGTATATGAACAGGTAAGTATCCCAACTACTAATAACAAACCCAAACTGATGAAGAGTATTTTGTTTCAAGCCATAAAGAATCATACTTTACTTGCACAAAAGGGATTTATCAGACAGCTCAAGACCACATGGTTGTTCTATATGCACAGTTTCTTCTATAAAACCGTTCAAGAAAGCATTATTAACATAAAGCTGATACAATTTCCATTCATAAAAGAGAGCAACAGTAAGAATAAGTCGATCTCTAATAGGTTTAACCACTAGAGAAAAGGTTTCATGAAAATCAAAATCATGAACCTGATGAAAACCTTTTGCTACAAGACAAGCTTTATATTTATTGATTGAGTCATCTGTAGTTTCCTTGACTCTAAAAACCCATTTAAAACCAACATCTTTTCTTTTAAGAGCATTAGGAACTAGATTCCTAGTCTTTTGATTTAATGATGCCTCATATTCTTGCTACATTTCATCCTGCCAATGTTTAACTTTAAAAGTTTGTTTGAGACTAGTAGATTTAGAATGAGATAATAACAGAGAAGGATAAACTCTGTTGAATAATGCCAAATTTAGACCTGGTTTGGATGGGATGAGTATTAAGAAAAGGTGCAGGAGGAGATTGTGACATAAAAGAAGTTGAAAGAACTGGATTGGAAGTAGAAGGAGAAGCTTCAGGTGTTGAATCATAGTTGTTAGTAGTGGGTTTTAAGCCTAACTCAACCTCACAAAACCGGCTTGTAGGGTGAGGTTTGCATCCACTTATAAACTAAGAATTGACCTTATCTCTAGTCGATGTGGGACTTTCAACACACCCCCTTCATGCCGAGGTATAGACATCTCGTGCGTGATAGTAGAAATTGGGTGGTCCGATAACGGCCCGATAGCGGGTGGAATAGAAGAATAGAATGTCCACTCAGAACTCGCTAGGATAGGCTCTAACCATGGCTCTGATACCATGTTAGTAGTGGGTTTTAAGCCTAACTCAACCTCACAAAATCGGCTTGTAGGGTGAGGTTTGCATCCACTTATAAACTAAGAATTGACCTTATCTCTAGTCGATGTGGGACTTCCAACAATAGTCAAGATTGTATGGAAGTACTAGACGCTGTATTTTTGTTGAGGTGGTGACAAATTTGGACTTAAGGTGAAGTACCATTGACCAACATCTTTAATTGAATTTGGTGATTTTTGAGAACACAGAATAAGCAAACTTATGTTCATCAAATAAGACATCTTTTGAAATAAATATACGACCACGGGAAGGTAGGCATATATAACCTTTGTGTAGCTGAGAATATCCTAAGAAAAGACATTCTTTAGACCTAAAATCAAGTTTGAGACTTAATGGTCGTAAAAGGGGAAAGCAAGAGCATCCACAAGTTGAGAAAATGAAAATCCGAATCTTTATTAAACAAAATAAAATATGTAATAACAAAGTATAAGGAAGTTGTAGGTAATCTATTAATAAGATACATGACAATGACAAAAGCAGAATCCAAAATCTGTAAGGGAAGGGACGCATGATTTAACAATGTGTCTATGGTTACGTTCAATAACTCCATTTTGATGAGCATCGATTTCAGTTTGGAGAAGGTGGATGTGCAAACATACCTGGCAAAGCTTGATTGGTTGATTGCAAAATATTCTACACTCATGCCCTATACTACTGATACATAGACATTCTGCGGACAACCAAATCAAATTTTCATGGTAGCTGAACTATGTATTGAAATAAAGAATTATTTTACAGATAACAGTCACACAAATTACATTCTCATCATCTTTATTTGTAATAATCAAATCCTTTAAAATAAGGTAACAAAAATATGTTGAAATGCATAGATTAATATTTTGAAGATATTTTTTTTAATTTCTATAGAAATATTGTGAATGTTTTTATCACAATAATTTGCTATTCGAGACACCCACCATATCAAATTCAAATGTTTCTGTTCCGTGAATCTTCACTATATTGTACTTATATAAAATGCACAGTGTTGTGTAGTTCAAATGTTTCTTAAAATCAATTCCAAGGGTTGATGTTAACGAAACCCTAGTTTACTTTGTTAATTTGCAGAATTCAAGGCCTTCAAGTTATAGTTCTAAAACTCGGTCCACTTCTGCAAAGGCAAGAGAATCTGCAGTTGTTTCAAATTCCTTGGCAAAATCACCATCCTCATGGGAGAAAGTATTATCTTCCTGGCTTCTTACCTTCAAACATCAATTATTTTCTAAAAGAGAATAATTTATTGAATGCAAAAGTTAACAGAATTTATTCTTTGCTATAATCTTCCAAGGTTTATTGGCTCTCCATTGACTATCTTCTTGTTGCCAAGTTGGCAGCTGTAAGTGGCAGATTCTATGCACTTCTCTTTTTGTTCGTGTGTTTTTATATAAATTTTTGTTACATGTGCTTCTTTATTTTATTAAAGAGTTGTGGGTCATATTTTACTTCAGTTATGTATGTGGAATATTGGTGTGAAGAGCAATTTAAAACGTTAACAATTGGAGGTCCAGATTTCCCTCATAATGAAATGGTAAGTTCTACTGAATATGTTTACATTTTATGCATGCTATTTTGTTTTAGTTGGACTATATACTATATTACACTGTTTAAAATTATTTTTTGTGCAATTAACTTGTTTCTTGGCTATGCATAATTTGTAAAATATTTATTGAGATTGTTTTGCTCCGTAATCATGTCGGTTTCTTATTTATGACTGATCGTTTTGTTGGCTTCCTATCAGTTGCCAGATCATATTGAAATTCTTGTTTCGGCAGTCACTGGAATCAATGAACCAGATAGCTTATATGGAATTCTACAGTCTCCCAAGGTTAGTGAGCCTGATTTTTCTTTCTAATACTTTTATCACAGAACTGAACGATTGTGAGTTCTGTCAAGACTACTAGACTACTCATTAACTAAATGATACACATGGGACCAACAAACTGTGAGCCCTAAACAGAGGCTAATGCAGAGCAATACAGAAGCAGAAAATTAGTTATATTTGCATTTGTTTTATATTGAAAACCCGTATGCCTTTTCCTGGTACCATGTTTGTATCCATGATTTGGACTCATGTTTCTTTTGATTTTCACCAGTTTCATCTTCTTTTTCTTTTCTTTTGATTTTCTTTTTTTCATTTTATTTTATATTGGTTGATAAAAATGATAGTTGACTTCTCAAATAATCACATTTGAGCATGAGGGAAACTGGGGAAAGGCCCTAGAGTATTATGACTTGCAAGTGCAGTCACATACCTCAGTACAGAACGATGGCAGTTCAAGAGGTCTGGCATTGAAACAAACAGGATCAGAACATCCTTCATCCTTTGCATCCAAGACAGATGGGATGAGGCAGAGTAGACCTTACAAAGGGTTGATTAGATCCTTGCAGCAGATTGCCTGTGCACACGTGCTTGACATGTATTGCCGAGGCTTGACTTCAACCAAGGATCTGCATCAGCATGATTTGGAGTTTGCTGAGTTGCAATATGAATCTGCCTGGCGCGCTGGGAAGTGGGATTTCTCTTTACCATATGTTGGAACTAATTTTCCTTTAATTCCAAATATCAAATGTGATCATTTCAATGGAAATTTGCACAGGTAATATGTCTTTATTTATTGTTGGGCTGATTTTAATTTACACCTCGTTTGTTCAATTGTTATATTCTTTGCTCATAAAGGTATGCTGAAATATATTCAGTATGCGCTCTGAAATTAATAGTTTTAGAGAGAGAATGAACTAATTTTTTTCTGGTTGGCAGCATTGTTATTGATATTGGAAAATATCGAGACCCAATAATCCTTTAGGAAAATAAATGGGAAGTCACAACAGGTTATGGTGGAAATGGCACACTATATACAAATATTAATACTTTAACTAACTAACCATAAGAGTGTTGTATTACATCTTGTGTAGTTGGTTTTTCTAATAGTTGTTTACCATATGCTCTTTTCTCTTCTCTATATATATTGTATCCAGTCCCACATATATCGTCTCCACAATTTTTGTCATTTCCATTGTAGCAACTTTAACCATCATCATTAGGGCCACCACCACCCACAGTTGCTATAAAATTCACAACCATCACTGTTTCCTCTACTATCACTACATCATCACCACCACTACTAAAACACCACTTTGAATGTCATCATTAACACAAGAACTTCCCCAATTATTGATACCTTTCTACCCATTGCCATCGCCACCATTATCTCACTATTACCATTATCACCATTGTCATTATTACCATCACTACTACTGTTTGATTAGTTGTTAGAGTTGTCAAAATGGATGGCTCAGAGCAACCTGCTGACCCAACCCATGTGCCCAACTAATTTTTAGTTTTAGACCCAACTATTTGTCTTGCCAATCTACCATTTTGACTCTTTTTAAAAAATGAGAAAAAATTAAATCTAAAGTATTAAAAGGTACAATATTAAATTTTTGAAACTGAAGTTACATTATTGAAATTAATTTTCATTTTTTGGTATAGTTACTTGATATATAGGTTATAATGCATGTATATGTTTTTTAAATTAGTATTCTTTTAAAAAGAGGGCTGGTCCATAAATTTATAGGTCTACCAGGCAAAGGCCAATTTGCTTATGGGCTAACTGGGAAAGGGTAAAAGTGTTCCTGCTCAATTTAACCCACAATTTCTCTTGGCTCGACTAAGTTTTATGTGCTTTTTGGGCTAACCCATCAAGATAGACCCAATTTTATGCCTCTAATTATTATCGATATGGTCACTACCATCACAACTTATATATCTTCTGGTCCTTATCATGGCGTGTACTAAACATCGAATAAGATTAATATCCATATTGCTTTTATCCTATCACATTTGTATCCTATCCCATCCTTCTATCACATCATATATTTTTTCTTGTACTTGGTGTTTCGTGATCAATGATGTGCAGTTCCTCTTTGCTACTAGGAATGAAACTCTTCATGAAATGTGAGTTTAATTGTTCTTGTATTCAGTTGTTTAAGGGCACTTGAGGAGGGTGATCTAACTGATTTCCAGAGAAAACTAAGAGATTCAAAGCAGGTAATATTTCTTTCCTAACTGTCTTGATGCACTTGAGGACTTTATGCATGTATAAATGTTTTATGTGTTTTAGGAGCTTGTGTTATCTGTTTCTCATGCAAGTGAAGAGAGCACTGAGTACATTTACATGACTATCATCAAGCTACAGGTACCCACTTGTCTAATCTGTAGATCCTTAACATGATATCTATTGCCACTACATCATATTTCTTATTACTGCATGTAAACCCATTTGCTTAAGATCACATTGTCATGGAGTATGGCCAAAGTAGTCCTTATAAGGGCCAATGCTTATTCCATCTCGTGTAAATGAAGTTCGGGATCTGTTATCCCACATTGGTTATGAATGTAACCAAACTATTTGTTGTAATGCTTTGGTGCCCTGAGGTATCTTTTGAATTAAGTTAGGCCCAAGTCCTTTCCTAGTGAGTGTTGAATAACATGAACAGAGAAAAGAGCAAGAAAAACTGAAATTGAATAGAATATTTTTATTAACTGATCTCACACTTGAATCTTATGTACAAGAGATATATATAGACATAGATGTTTGAGAAGTTATTATAAACTAACAGCTGTACATAGAAAATAATATATACATCGAAAGAAACCTGCAGCCGTACATGTTTGACTAATAATACAAGTTCACGATAGTTGACTATAGTATATACACTTAACAGTGAGGATATCTTATCCTCCACATTAAGTAATACTGTTATAAATTATAGATAAATTTTTTAAAAAATGTTCCATGGAACATATGCACGTATGTACTGGCAATTTGTAGAATTCCGTCTTGATGAGGCTTTTGACAAAGAATATATTATACATATTATAAGTATTTATTTAACTGAATAAAATTTGTGAAGCCTCCCTCTTATCTTCAACAGATGCTTTATCATCTTGACATGGCTTGGGTTTTACGCTGGAGAACTTGTGAAGATAATTCCACAAAGTTTTTCCTGCTGAAGCCAAACAATTCTTCTGAGCCTGTGATTCCTTCCATTGAGCAGGTGTATAGTGTACCTCTGTCCTTCATGGAAGAACCTTTGTTTTCTTCACTATGCAAAATATATAATGAATTCAGACAGTGATTATTATCAGCATTGAAGCCTAGAACTGTTTTTAATGTCTACTAGTTGTCATGGCTGGATATGGAGTGGTGCTCAATTTTGCAGAGGACGCAATTGCATATGAACTTGCTAGAACCATTTATAGCATTTCGACGAGTTCTACTTCAAATTTTAAGCTCTAGAGACTGTGTGATGCAACATCTTCTGCAGTCTGCCACCACACTTCGCAAGGTATGTCGTTACTGTTACTAGATATAGATATATGATTTTCCCTTCTCTTGTAAATAACCTTTCTTAAGTGCAAGGGTCTGTGCCTTGGGCTCGTGATCTCTTGTATTCTATGTATTTATTTAGATAGACATTTCATAGTTATTAAGTTAATAATATAGTTTTCAATTCTCTCTTTCCATTCTGCTATCTCATCTTTCCATGAACTCTATGAGTTGGAGATAGAAAAATAAAATCTATTCCTTAGGATGTTTCAAACACTTAAAGCTTTAAGGAGATTTGGTACTGGACATGTTATTAAAAACATAGAACCTCTTTACAAAGTGGTAAGGGATTCAATCCTTGGCACAACCATCGTAACTGAAATTATTTACACCTCAAGGTTCAGACCTTTCAGGTATGAGGATATGTTGATGTAAAATTATTATTGGATCTCATTCTAACAACCTAAACTTTTAGGAAACTTGGTCCTTTATAATTTTCTAGAAACCATGACCTAATTTATTTTTAATTTATTATATGTTATTTCTATATTTCAGGGATGTAGGTTCTCTCAAGCAGCTTCTGCTCTGCATGAGTTTAAACTCCTTTCTGTTGAAGCCAAAGGGCAAAGCTCATCATTATATTGGCTTGGACGGGTAAGGGGGCTGCTACAATGTTGTGTGTCCATATCTGGAGATGGACAGTACTGATGCTTTCCTCAATGTCAATTTTCAAAGCAATAATTGAGTGTTTTCCCTAGATTAACGGTCAAATTCAATGAACCACCTTCCATATGGAAATGAAGACCAAGTTAAAAATATGATTATACATTAATCCAGTAGTATATAAAATACAGGTGAATTTAAAATATAGAGGGATACAATTGCAGAAATTCAAATTCTTTATAGCAAAATGATGTCGGTACTCATTAGCTGTAACAAGATGCGAAGATGAACTTTAGAGAATATAGGAGTTAATGTAAGAGGCAAGTTGGCCGATAGTGCATCATGTCTGCATATATGATAAAATAGAATAAGACAGGGAGAACTGTGAATTTGGAAAAGGAGGGATTAGTGCAGCAGAGTGGGCTGCTGAGATGGCACACGTAAGGAAGAGTTGGGAGGATTTCACCCATTTTACTGTTATCAAAATACCCTGTTTTGGTTGCAAATCATCTATAAAATTCAACTAAAGTATTACATTCTCTACTCTAGTTCTCTTTTATACTTATTGTTGTGCTATGTTCTTCATAACACTTGATTGGCTTGGCACAATTGAATTGGTTGGCATTAACATATGCATGTTTGCTTCTGCTTCTTGCTTTGCTGATTCTCACCACTAATCACTATATTTGTGTGTGTGTGTGTGTGTGTGTATATATATATGTAGTGATTAGGGTATCTAGTTGATGGCCTGTCTCTTTTTTTTGGAGTTGGCCCACATTGGCCCAAACGTTTCTAGATAGTCAGTCTATTCAGATTGTAAGGAATTCTGTTAGGTGTCACATTAATAATAACTGTTTGCCCTCTTATTACCATGAATTCTAACACTCACAAAGTTGTAGTATTATTGTTGTTAGAAATATTATATCTTTTATCTTTATCTTTTATCGTTCAGTTAGTTTGTTATTATTTCTTATTTGTATTTTAGGCTTAGCCCATATTTCTTCTTTTATCTTTCAGTTAGTTTGTTATTATTTCTTATTTCTATTCTATTATAAATAGAGAACCTTATGTGTGTTTAACACAAGGGAGATTAATCCCATATATAATTTTCACTATATTCAACAATTGTCATCAACCTTGCCGAGTAATTAACCATTTCGGTTGCAGCTTGAAGAAGCAAAGCTTTTCCGTGCTCAAGGTCAAAATGTGATAGCTATCAACCTTGCAATGTATATATCACAGAATTATCGCTCTAATGAGGAGGCTTCTGAAGCATTTCGGTTGGTTGGGAAGTGGCTGGCAGAAACCAGATCTAGCAAGTTATAGAAGAAAACTGAATTCTTTACAATATTTTAATAATATGCTCTCTCTTTATGCTCACTTTGTTGTTACTTTCCCTGTTTTGCTGTGAAATTGCAGCTCAAGAACAATTTTGGAGAAGTATTTGAAACCTGCAGTCTCTATTGCTGAGAATGTGAATGCTACAGCTAAGAATGCCATGAAAAGGAAATGTCAGACTCATTTTCATCTTGCACACTATGCTGATGCTCTATTTAGAAGCCATGAAGAAAGACTTAACTCGAATGAATGGCAAGCAGCAATGCGTTTAAGAAAGCATAAGGTACGTAATTGATTGGTTTGAACATGTGGCAAGCATGAGATATCCATGTGAAATGGAATTGTGAGTAGTTGCTGTGTATTCGACTAATGCTGGAATATTCAGATTCAAATGTGTTTAAGAAAGCATAAGGTACCTAATTGATTGATTTTAATATGTGTATTAAATTTCAAGGAAAATAAGAAAAGAAAAGGCAATGTAACAGTGTAAATTTGATGAATTTTTTTTATATTCAAAACATAAATTAGTCATACAATACAGAGTGTTCGGAGTGTTTTTAAATAGACTCTGAAAAAGAAAGAGAAGGCAATAGTTATTGAATGTTACTGTTAGGACATAGGATAGGATAGATGGGGTTTAGGTTTGAAGCAGAACGGTAACAGGGTTTAGGTTTGAAGCCGAACGGTAATAGCCAAATGGTAACAGGGGCATGCCGAACGGGTTTAACAGGAAACTGTTTGGTCTCGGTTTGGGAAGGGTTCTATTGTAAGGAAGAGTGGGTCAGAGTTGTTAAAGCTATAAATAGACTCCGATAAACTCTATATGGGACATCAAGTGTATTTTGTGTAAAGTCAGGTCTTTAGCATGTAGAGAGAGGTTATGCTCTCAACCAGGGAGGTTATGTTTCCAACTCATTCTTTGTACAGTACCTATTCGTTCTGAAATAAGAGAATTCTTTCATTCATCTTTGTATTCTGTTGTGTGAGAGTGTGTTTGGTTAGGTTTGAGACATAGAAACCTAATAGTTACCAAGACAAAGGAACTGCCATAACTTGCCAAAAACTGTAACTACCTAAGAACAGTAAATAAACTGTCATAATTAGTACAAGTCATACGTACATTAAGACAAACCTAATTCAAGCCTAATACAGTACATAATGTAAAATGAGGGAAACTTAAATGCAAGTCTAATAATGTGGCTACAACAAGATAATGGAAGTTATGAGTACTGTTTGTTGAGGGTTCTGTAGTTTCTTTTCTACAAGATTCTTATTTGTACACTATGATCTGGTCTGTTGTGTGTCTATATCTGTGAAAACGAATTGTGAGTAGTTTCTATATATTCATCTAATCCCTGGAATATTGGGATTCAAATGTGCAATGGAGTACTTGTAATTTGTAATGTGAATAGTTCATCATAAACCCTGAAAGGTGAAATATTGGGATTCAGGTATGCAATGAAGTAAATACAAATTAAAAACATGCAATCTAATTCCTCACGAAATTTGTATCTTTGATTCTGCAGACAATAGAGTTGGAAGCACTCATAAAAAGGTTAAGGAGTTCAACAAAGGTAATTAAAATATTTTTCTTTTACTTCTTCATTCTCTGATGCTCTAACTCAGTATATAATTTAGGGGGAGAAAATTGACTACTCAATTAAAATCCAAGAATTGCAAAAGCAAGTAGCAATGGACAAGGAAGAAGCCCAGAAATTGCTGGTATTTATTTGGTTTGGCGAGTAATTGTTGTGTTATGAAAAATTATTGTTGAGTTACAAAGAGATATGATCAATCTATGTAACTAATACCTCTAAGATACTTTAGGTTACTAGAAGAGATATTATAATCATTATTCTACCAGAATAGGGGTCTACATAATCTTGAAAAAGAGAATAACTTTTATTGTTTTCATTCATGTCTATTACATTGTCCTTACCTTTATTTATAACAATCTAATCTTCTAAAAAAGGAAAATAAAAATAATCTAGAAGATCCTACATATATTTTCTCTAATTAGGAAAATTCTATAGAAATTTTCTCTAATTACAATACTTGCCCTCAAGTTGGTAAATGAATATTAATCATTCCCAACTTGTCTACAATATCTTGAAATCTACTTGGAGGGAGCCCTTTTGTAAAAATAGTTGTTATTGGAAGTCTTATAGGAACATGAGTTGTAATCCAAAAGCCTCTCTAGATTATCTTTGATGAAATATCTGTCAATCTCAATGTGTTTGGTCCTTTCATATTGTACTAGATTATGAGCAATGCTCATGGCAGACTTAATTGTCACAGTGTTGCACAGGGTTGTCCACCTTGACTTTAAAGTCATCCAAAACTTTTTTCATCCAGAGTCCTTCACACATTCCTTGAGCAAGAACTCGGAATTTAGTTTCTACACTAGAATGAGATACTTTATCTTGCTTTTTGCTCCTTCATGTTACCAGACTATCTCCAAGAAACACAGTACTCAGAAGTAGATTTTCTATCAGTAATATAACTTGCATAGTCAGCATGAGTATATATTTTCATAGTCAATGTGTCTTCCCTTTTGAATAATAGCCCTTTCCTAGACTTGATTTCAAGTATTGGGGAATTTTGACAACTGTTTGAATGTGTCTCTCTCTTAGATCATGTATAAATTGGCTCACTACACTAACTGCATGAGCAATGTCTGGTCTTGTATTTGATAGATAAATCAATTTTCCTACCAATATTTGATATTGTGCCTTCTCTACAGGAGCACTTTCTTCACATCCAATTTTGTGATTCTGTTTTATACAAACTATTGAGGTTCTACATCCCAACTTTTTGTTCTTAGAGTAAGCAATTTCTATTCCAAGAAACTATTGGAGTTTTCCTAGGTTTTAGAAGAGTGCTTTATGAATAAAGTATGATCTCCTTGGCTTTGTCTGTATCCCAAGGAAACCATTGCTTTTATAAATATTCCAAACCATGCTTTAGGGGATTGTTTAAGACCATAAAATGCTTTTTTTAGAAGTCATACCTTGTTTCTTTCATTTTTCACGTTAAGACCTGAGGAATCTCCATGTACTTCCTCTTTTAAATTTCCATGAAGAAAGACATTCTTCCCATCCAACTGGTGTAAGTCTCATCCAAAAAGAGCAGCCAAAGTGGGAACAACTCGAACTGTATTCATCTTTGCCACTAGGGCAAACATCTCCTCGTAGTCAATCCCATAAGTTTGGATATATGCTTTTGCCACCAATCTAGTTTTATATCTTTCAATTGTCCCATATGTCTTATGTTTCACTGTGAATATCCATTTACACCCTATTGCCATCTTATCTCTTGGCTTATCAACAATCTCCCAATTTTAATTTCCTTCTAATGCATTCATCTCTTCTTTCATGGCTTGATTCCAATGTTCAAGTTTCATGGCTTCTTAGATTGAGGTAGGAATTTTTGTGGCATTAGTGGCAACAAGACAGCTTCAGTGCTTATCATAGAGATTATTAGTGCAAACATACTAAGAAATAGGATATTTTCTTTCAAAATGCAATAGGTAAATCATCAGTAATACTTACCTCCAAATTGTTATCATCAGGGATCCTCACCTCCAGATTTTACAATTTTTCCTCCTCGAGAGTCGAAGTAGGTTGTTTTCTTCTTTCATATTTTTTGCCAAAAATTTGTCTTCTTCCTCTTCTTCCTCATTGTGGACTATGGTAGCTTCATTGCTCAGATCTTGGGCATCCTGCAACGACAAACATGGTAATGAAAAGGAGAGTTCATCCATTTCAAGTGCTTTCTCCCCTTGAAGTGGTCGACTAATAAATATAGATTTGTTTGTAAGGAATCCCTAAAATTAAGGGAATAGGATTTGGAGATTATTTGGTAGATTTGCTCCAGATTTATAGTCTTCAAGTTTGGAGATTTATATTGTTTTATTTCAAGATATTTTTTCATTTTATTAAGATTTCGTTTTTACTTTCGAGATCAAGAAAAGTACTTCCACAATTATTTCTTACCGGCTACACATTTTTTCACAAAGATATTTTTGGGCTTTGAGGAGATATTATCGATCTTTGTAATTTACTACATTTAAGTATACGGTACGATACTAAAAGAGATATTTTAATCATTATTCTAGGGTTGTAGAGCTCTACATAAACCCTCTTTTACTTGTTTACAATTGAATTAATATGATAAGAATCCTTTGTTCACACATATCTAGACTCTTCTCAAGTGTTAGGAACGAACATCTATATGATTATGTGTGCAACTTAATAAAAATATTCGATAAATAGAGTTAAAATGATGTCTTGAATAAACTTCTCTTGTGAAATGTTATATTAAATCCTCGTCTTAATTAATAGAATTAATAGTTTCCTTTTGATAAATGATTCTACTTTTCCTTATTCTTATGCCAACCCTTTATTTTCAATGTTATAAATGTAAATCTTTATTTTTACCTTTCACAATGTCAGGATGACCGGGACAATTTTCTTAGCCTCGCATTGGAGGGATACAAACAGTGTTTAGTCATTGGTGACAAGTATGATGTGAGAGTGGTATGTAATTCCTCTTAATTCCCTTCACTACTAACCATTTGTTGAATGTATCTTTAAAAGCTTTTATTGAACTTGTCATCTTACATTTGTGTCTATCCTTATTGTAACATATGTTGATATCTTTATTTCTGATTTTTAACATATTTTAAATTATTTCTAAATAATTAGTTTCCTTGCCTTTTCATATTACCTGTAATAACTAGACTAAAGTTGTTAAACTCGAGAGTTTACATAAACTCGTGAGAGCCCAATAAATTCAAAAGAGTTTACTTTACATGAAAAAAAATTATGAATAACATCCTAATTAAAGTAAGTCCACAAAATTATAAAACTTCAAATAAATAAGTTCATAGAAATATTGTTCATAGAAATAAATAAATGTCTATGTCTAATCCTCTAATGGCACCATCACTTTCATCCAACTCTTCCCCTGATGAAAGTTGATGAAAGTTGTGCATCCCCAAGAGCATCTAGAGCGGGATCTATTGTTGCTCCATCTAAGTGATAATTTTCACCATCATTTTCACCTACAGCTTGCTCAATCTCAACAACATCATCTACCTCTTCAGTTATCCATTCATCATCTGATTCAATCTCATGAAATGGAAGAGCAACAGTTTTTCAAATTTGGATACTTTTCAACTTCAAGTTATACGTCACATAAACTAAATCATTCGTCTTTTTCCGATGCAAACGATTTCTTCTTTTTGTATGAACCTAAAATGAAATATCAAATTTTTAGTAAAGATATAAACCTAATAAAGAAAATGAGAACTTAGAAATAATTTAAATTTACCATTTCAAATGAGCTCCAATTAGGCTCACATTCCAAAGATCTCAAGTCAAGCTTAGAATTCAAATAGCAAACCTCTTCAACTTCAGAGTTTCATCCCCAAACATCTACCACCATTCTCGAGGATTTAATGCCTTATTGCATTCCTTTGAATCTTCCATTCCAAAAAGTCCTCTAGCAAAATGAAATTCAACAATTTGCAAATTATTATTTCTTCTTTCCACCAATCCAGTACCAATCTTGTCATGCATATATACAATCGTCGTATTACATTTGAGTTCACCAATCTTAAGACCACTATAAGAGGGGCACCAACTTCCAGGCATGTGAAGACATTCTTCCAAAACCGGCTATCTAATACCACGTGTTCTACTCTTCTCCCCTCTTGTGAAGTTCCGAACTTGTCTTCCTTTCCTCAATGCTAAACATGGTCAACGATGATGCCTTCAATTCATGAAGACAAGCAAGAGTTAAATAAGCTGTGGCAAATCTAGTCATACCTGATCTTGTCAAGTTTTTATTCACAAAGATGATAGCAGCATAATCAAGAGGAAGGCCTTCAAGGATAGCATCAACTTGTTCATCAGGTTTAATAAGGCAAACAGTGGCTGTGAGGTCATCAACGATAGATTTAATATGACCCAAGTATTCTTTCATGGTTTTGTTTTCATGGGTTTGGGCACAAAGATCAGTAGACAACTGCCATGCACAAGATTTCATTTGAGTGTAAAAGTGTTCATGAATTTCATCCCAAACTTGATAGGAATGAACTGCACCAAGTACTCGAGATAGAATTCTCTTGGACAAAGTAGATTGAAGCCACATGAGTAAAAGTTGATCCTAAACATCCCATTCTTCGTAAGCAGGATTAAGAACATCATTGTCACGATCTGCTTCAGAGAGAAAGCATGGGAGGATGACAGGATTAACCACAAACCTATGAAGTTTGCGAGATTTAATGGTAGGTTCAACCTGCTGCTTCCAAAGAACATAATTGGTGTCATCAAGTTACTCCTCAACTGAATGTGAGAAAAAGGGGTTAGGGGATGAATGGGAAGAAGACATCATAAACACATAACCAGATCAAGAACCTACTCTTGATACCATATTAGAAATAGAAGTACAGTAAAGTGTTGATCTGTATTGCAGAAAAATGCTGAGTACAATTGTTCAACATAAAACAGAAGCACATGAGTCTATATTAAATAAACTCTGAACCAGAAAGAGAAACGCAGCAGTTATGGACAGTTACCTAAACAAAGAAACTGCCGTAACTTACAAAGCACCACAGAAACTACCTAAAACAGAAAATAAACTTAGTCTTTACATTACATGGCATAAAAAGAAACCTATTAAGTACAAGTATAATATTCAATGACAGGTTTACCCTCCTTCCAAAGGAGATAATTGGTGTAATCAAGTTTGTCAACAACTAAGTGTGAAAAGAAGGGATTAGGGGATGGGTGGGAAGAATTAGATATCTTAAGCGAGTAACCTGGATCAGTAACCTGCTCTAGACACCATATTAGGTTTTGAGAATTGTAGGAAACAAGAAAAAAAGTAACAGTGTAGGAAAATGTGAATCTGATGTTTTTATAATTATTATACAACACAAACAGAAACACTTGAGTCTACTTAAAGTAGACTCTAAACAAAAAGGAGAAAGGATCAGTAACCTGCTCTAGACACCATGTTACGATTTGAGAATTGTAGGAAACAAGAAAAAAAGTAACACTTTAGGAAAATGTGAATCTGATGTTTTTATAATTATTATACAACACAAACAGAAACACTTGAGTCTATTTTAAGTAGACTCTGAACAAAAAGGAGAAACTGCCTAAAAAACAATTAAGAAATTAAAATATAATCAGTACATTACATAACAGAAAACGAGACCAACTAAATACAGGTCTAATAGGTTTTGGTGGAGTTCTTGAGCTAGAGACAATTTATAGTTCAGCTGGTGAACTCCAAGAAGAATTGAAGGAAGCTAAACCAGAACAGATTGAAGCAAGGACACATCACTCCTGATGTTACTGAGGTGCTAAATAGGACACGGAAACATGTTTACGGTGCTTTACTGCAGAGCAACAAAAAACACGGGTTAATTTCATAAGGAAACATGTGGAAGCACTCCTTTTGAGATTGCATGAACAAGTTCTACCACCTTTGGCCAGTTTTTATATCAGAGGAAACATATGTGGAAGCGGCGGCACTAGATCTCATGGAAACGAATGAAGACCTCCAGTAGCTTAAAGCTGCAAAGTTTAACATTGAGGACAAGGTTATTCCAACAGGGGAGAGTAATCTTAGGCATGGAAGTTGATAGAAACCAAACAATTAGTGAATATCAAAGTTATATTATTCAGAGTATTATGCAGTAAAAAAGATGATTGAGCTGAAAGCTCTACAGCCACAAGGAAACCCCAGAGTACTAGACTCCTCCAGAGGATTACTCTCCTCCTAACCAACTCACAACCTCCTACTCCAATACCCCCTCCACACTCTCCCTTTTCTCTCCTATAATAGAATTTCCCAATTCCTTAATTCTTGGCACGTCATTCACCATCCTAACTAACTTCTCACTATTTCTTTTCCTAACCCCACTTTCTTTCTTCTTACATAAACATTCTATATTTTGGGCCTATCTGTTCCTTCTATAATTTTTCCTTGCTGAATAACAGGCCCATGTGCATTTTCCACCTTATGATTCTTATTAGGAGTCCTATTAGAAGTAATGAGAGGGTCAGGAAGAAATTTAAAAATAAAATTATTAGTTGTTATAGGGGGAGACTTTCAAGGAAATTCTATATATTCTTATCTTGTGGGATGTTGGGGGCCACTTTTTTGGAGTTGATGTTTGTGACAGGGAGAACTCTGTGAGAAAGGAAAGAAATTGTCCTTTGGAAGTTGTTGTTAGTTGGATACTAAATATAGTACAGAAAGTTGTTAGAAGATTCTAGAGATCTCTTATAATTATTATTTAAGGGTTTGAGTTCTCTATATATAGAAGTGGATGTAATGTACCGAATCAATTGAATAAAAATATTCTTTCTTTTATATTAATTCTTTCTAGTTAAGCTTTGGTTTTTATGGAAGTGAATAATACAATGCAAGACTTTATCTGTACTTATTTTTCTGTCTTGTCCTTTCATCACTGTATCTAGGTTCCTAAAAGATTGTTACTAATAGAGGAGTAGAATATGTAATTAGAATGATTGTTATTTAATAATATGTTGCTTTTATTCCCTCTCACTTTTCAAGCCATTCCTAATATCTGTCATTGTCAATATGATTTCCTTTAATAATGTCTTTATTTGCTTTCAGGTGTTTCGCATTGTTTCCTTGTGGTTCAGTCTCTCCTCACAAAAAGAAGTTGTAAATAGCATGCTTAGCACAATTGATGAGGTATATAGTAAAACCTTTTCAATAAATCGAACTGATTTATATGGCATTTACCCAAATCTTAAGATTATTTTTGTTGGCTTTCTACGTTTATTCCATTTGAATCTATTCGTAGGTTCAATCTTTCAAATTTATACCTTTAGTATATCAAATTGCCTCTAGAATGGGTAACACAAAGGATGGTCACGGACATCTCAATTTCCAGGTTCTGGCTTCTCCAAATCTATATGCATTAATTATTGCTCATGTATATTTTCTTATTTATTAATAAGGACATGGAATATACAGTTTGCATTGGTTTCTCTTGTGAAGAAAATGGCCATTGATCATCCATATCATACGATACTTCAAGTAAGTAGTACCTTTATCCGTTATTAGGCAATGATTTACATGCTGATACGAACTTTTTGATTATTTTCAAAAGTAAAAATTTTTAGATTAAAAACATTAACAATCATATGAAATTCTTTTGCTGGCAATTTTTGAATGTGTTTTACTAGCATTACATGCTTGTAACAGTTACTGTCTGATGAAAAATATTTTCATATCTATTCTCTATTTAGCTTTTGGCTCTGGCAAACGGTGACCGTATCAAGGACAAACAGCGTAGTAAAAGTTCATTTGTGGTTGATATCGACAAAAAGCTTGCAGCAGAAAATCTTCTAAATGAGTTGGCATCTTATCATGGAGCTATCATTCTACAAGTAACATCACTTTTTGTATTATATATTTTCCTTTATAGTTCGAATTAGCAATCAATTACCTTCAAATTATTTGTTACATATGTAGACGAAACAGATGGTGGAGATTTATATCAGACTTGCTGAGATGGAAACAAAGAGAGAGGTGAGATATTTTTATATATTTTATATTGATAGGTTGGGTCAAGACAGGTTTGGCATTGTGTATAAGAGAAGGGATAAAAATAATAACTGAAAAATGACAGATATAACCTCCTGTAGATGTTTTCCTTTTTTACTTTTCCTGTAACTGACTATTATAAATAGTCAAGGGTTGGGAGGAAAAGGGGCTGTTGGGTATTCTAAGGAAAATAGGATATTGATGGAGAGTGAAGACCTCTCGAAAGTCCCTCAAGTGTGTTCTTCCAGATTCTACTACATTGGTAGAAACATTGTTCCTAATAAAGTTTACTAACAAGTTGTCTTGGAGTTTTTATGTAATACTAATTGTGTCGAACACATATCCAGTCTTTCTTATGACCATGAATGCATTTGAAGCTACTTCTATCATTGACTTGCTTAGTAACCTGAAAATATTAAGTTTTACAGCCTTCTGATTGGATTATTTATGCAGGATACCAATAAAAAGGTGACACTACCTAGGGACTTGCGTAGTCTCCCGATGCTAGAACTTGTAAGTAGCTTGCTAAATTTATGTGCTAATAAAGCTTTTTGGTTGATGAAATTACTAAATGGTGGTTTTTTGGGGACAACTGTCAGAACCATGCTGCTCATTATGTTACTTTTGGGATTTTAAAAAAAATATTTCCAAAAATACTGAAGTTCTATCTTTTACATAAAATTAAAATTCTATTACATTGAAAAATAACAGAAATGCTGTGACGTGTATTGGAGGGTAAACAATATATATACTTTACATAGCAAATTATAAATATTTTGTCAAACCAAAATATTAATTGGATATAAGAGGTGGTGAAAAAAATAAGTATAAAGCTTGAAACATGTGTAATATTCTGGTGAATATATTTACATATTGCTTTGTAATGTAAATCACAAACATGTGTTGATTGAAAAACTGAACTGTTCTAAGATTTTGTATTATGGTATATTTGATAATGTTGCTGATTGGGGTATCAAGTGCGCAAGAGTAAACAAACACAAAATACACATGAAAGAAAGAACAGAAAAATAGTTCGAGAAAAGCCTTCTCTTTATACTGGACGGGTCTGCTGGATGACTACGGAATTGCCTGTCAACAGAAAAAAAATATGAAAGATTCACTTAGAGAATTGCAACAAACACTCTATGAATTACAAACTTCTTGTATACTAGTTAGTGACACAAGAACCCTTTTATACAACGAATCTGCAGAGATAGTTGACACAATAAGTAATTCCTAAGTAACTTTAAAGAAATATAAGAAAACATCTTCAATTTACTGGACGACTTTCAGCAAGTGCCCGACATATGAAAAAGATTCGAAGGCATAAACTCAGAATATTTAGAAACTTCAAATATGAAGCTATATTTTAAAATGAAAACAGATATGCTCAGGCATCACTATACTAACTACAAGGTTGGCACTCTAGTATGTAACATGCAGCATATCTAAATATTATTAAAAAAAATATATAAAGAAACAAAACAAAGTTGGCGGTCAAACCAAACCCAATAAAAAAATCTAAAATTAGGAAGACCAGAACGGTCTCTTAAAAAGTCATAGTGCAGAAGATTTTTATTTATATTTGTCTTTGGAAGAATTTGTGTCTGCCTGTGTATACACTTCCTGTTAAATTTTAGTTGTATATATTTACATGCGCAATTGTGCATACATTGTCAACGGCTAAACTTTTAAAGTTGCATGTACTTCGGACGTTTAGGTACCTGTAGTGACAGCTACAATATCAATTGATCATAGTTGTCAGTATCATGAAGGCACTTTTCCTTACTTCAAAGGACTAGCAGATTCTGTTATGTAAGTATCAAACATTTATAGCATATAGACAGAATATTTTTAGTATGCAAAATTTGATGCATCAATCTACTTTGTGCTGGTTTGTGTTCAGGATAATGAATGGTATAAATGCTCCAAAAGTGGTTGAATGCTTTGGTTCGGATGGCTGCAGATATCGACAACTAGCAAAATCTGGAAATGATGACCTAAGACAGGATGCTGTATGAATTCTTTTAACTTAGGCCTTATCATTTGTAATCTTTCTTGCATCTATTACTGAAGTTGTGCCAAATTATTTCTTTGTCCATATTTAGAATAAAATTCACATCTGAAGTTTATTAGACAAATTTTTGTATCAAAACACTACTTTTTGTTAATTGTAATGTTAAATTAAAGCTTTAAATACATTTTTTGTTCTGGTGTAGTCATGTGATATATATCAAACAGCCCTAATTTTGCCTTGGGAGGGGAAGTGTTTTGGCATATTGCTTACAGTACTGATTAAAAACAAAATTTAAAAATTATAAAGACTACAACAAATTTTAGATAGATAAACCAATACCAAAGTCATACATCCTATTTTAGAAACTGATTCAATTTTTTTAATAAAAAAGAAAGAATGGTACTCTACAGGTTGTAATCCTAATCACGATAGCACTACAACATGTACCAATCATATGGAGCCTTCTTAATACATTTAATAGAAAAAAGAAATACTAAGGTGGGGCAAACAAACGAAAACCCATTAAGAGAATCTGAGATGTGGGTAATCACATCAATCTCTACAAAATTCGGGGACAATACAAGGAAGCACTCTATTCCACCCAGTAAAAAATTAATGTTCTAATACCATAAGCAGCTAAACTATCCGCAGACTTAATTCCTTCTAAAAAAACATGTGTAAAAATCTACACTGCATACCCTTCATAAACTCCAAAACATTATTCCATCTATTCATTAACTTCCAAGGATCTAAAGAACTGAGAAAAAAATTTTATAGTAACCAAAGAATACATCTTCAACCAAAGAGCTGTCTAACAGTGATATTAATAGCATAAGTAACACCCAGCTGTTTAGCTTCAAAAGCTAAATATGCTTACATAAATTTCACTCATAAAACACACCATGTTCTCACCTCTTGACTTCTTACAAATTTTCCCCACGTGTTGTTTTGTTGCCATGACTAATGTAAGCTCCATCTGCATACATTTGATCCAACCTACATATGGAGGAATGGAGTCCACTTGAACAATATTTATGCTTTACTTGACGAGAAAGTAATGGCAAAAGCCATAAGAATTTTAAATTAAACCATGTTAGATTTCTTGTTAATTGTTGTTATTGATCCAGAAAGATTTAAAGCAGTGAAAATTATATTCCTAACACGTTGATAATGTATTTAAAACCTCTCAAATTTAATCTCGTTTATGCTATTCCAAATTTCTGCTACTATGAGTAAAAGCGGATAGCATCACAGGCTGCCACCAAATTTACTCTAATTCCAATTGGGATGTATATCTGTCTTAATTGTTGATGTGTCCAGCTGCTGTGGTTAATAGATGCTTTGGAGTCAGGTCCATAATCTAACTGCAAAAGAAGTTAAAAATAAATGATTGGTAGTTTCAAAATCATTGTACCAATGAGGAGAAAATGATATCACATCCACATTTCCCAAGTAGATCATCCATAGGCAACTAACCATGTAGCAATTTTCATAGAATGAAAGTTTTAGATGTCTATCTCTCTGGCAAACCCTTTTGGTCTGTCTATAAAATGAAAGTTTTAGATGTCTATCTATTTCGGTATATATTATTAGTCATAACTTAAGAAATGTTATCACTTCCTTTATTTACATTTTTCTACAAGGGAATCTGCACCTTCTAAGGAATCTTATTTGATGGTTACATTACACTGCTGATTTCTTGTAGGTAATGGAGCAATTCTTTGGTTTAGTCAACACATTCCTCAGGAACCATCAAGATACACGGAAAAGAAGGCTAGGAGTACGGACCTACAAGGTATATTCTGCTGTTTTAAAGTTTTTGGTCTTTGGTGCTGGTGATTGGCTGGTGAATTTCATTAGTTTTTCATTACTCGTGACTTAGAATTGCATGTTTACTGCACATAAAATGCTTTTGCAGAACGATCTTGTTCTCATGACAATTTTTTCGTAGAACTCTTTCTCTTGCGCTAGAAAAGCTACTTTCTAAAAATTTATGATATGCTTCCAACTGTGTGTAGGAATTTTCTTGGCCTGAAAAATAAAATGGTTGAGAGTTTTCACTTTTTTATGAAACAGGTTGTTCCTTTTACTCCAAGCGCTGGTGTTCTTGAGTGGGTTAATGGAACTCTTCCTCTGGGTGAATACCTTATAGGGAGGTCAGTCAAAGAAAGACAAGTTTTGCTAAACAATTTCTTGCTCTTTTCATCTTTGAAGTAACTGATTCATGTTGTGAACCAACTATCCCAAAAGCTATTTCATGGAAGTATATGAATGGTTTTATATTTCCCCTTCTACCAAAACCCCTTTGGGCTTGAAAGATGGACAATGACTATTTATCCTACCTTGGCTAAAGTATGTCATTTATTAGAAAACATGGATCAATATCAAGCATATTGTCATAGACTAATACTACTATGCCATGAATGGCTTTATATCTAACAGTCTTTCTTCAACTTTCAGCATGAGAAATGGAGGTGCTCATGGTCGCTATGGAATGGGAGATTGGTCATTCCTTAAATGCCGAGAGCACATGGCAAATGTAAGAAAATAATATTTAAGCACTTATGTGAGCTTAGTAATCTTATATTGTTTGTTTCATAGTTTTCTAAAGTGATGACAATCTTAATTTATATTTGAAAAAGATTTAGGTCGTTATAAAATATAAAATGTCTTAAGAGTTTGGATTAGGACCTAAATTTGAATCCTACATACCTGGGCTGTAAGGTTTGGAATATCCGAACTTCATAATTTCTATTTAAACAATGTCTATAGTTAATGTAGGACTAAACACACTCCCCCTTTAAGTTTTCATTAAGTCAGCCCAGCCAAGGGTGATTGCAATTGAGGCAATCTTCAAAAAATATCAAATATTTATATCATGTCATCATCATCAAAATAGCTTTGACTTAGGCTACAATTATAGTTTGTATTGAAATTGGTGAAGCTGTACTATAGGTAATAATGTTCGGGATCTTCTAGTGCTTATGCATTATCAAGTGAAGTTCATTTTCAAATTCTTCACAATCGTTTTACTTATTCAACTATTAAACTATGCATTGACAAATTGAATGCAAACCAAAAAAATTGAAAATACAGACTGATAGCATAAATATATAAAATAAAACTATTTATTTTATACCTTTTATTTTATGATGTCAAATAGATTAATACTACGTTTGATGTTTGCTTGATAGGAGAGGGACAAGCGCAAAGCATTCCAGGAAGTTTGCAATAATTTCAGGTGTCTTTCCTGTCCTTATCTTTTAGAGGACTCAGGTCACGTCATCCGCTTCATTGCTTAATCATTTTGTCATGCAGGCCTGTTATGCATTACTTTTTCTTGGAGAGATTTTTACAGCCAGCTGAGTGGTTTGAAAAGAGACTTGCGTATTCTCGAAGTGTTGCTGCTAGTTCTATGGTAATAGCATTCTACTTTTCCATGCATGCTTATTTTTTCAATATAAGGATTCTGTCAGACCTGAATATAGCCAAAGGTATCAAGTGCGCCTGTTGAAGGTTTTATACTTTTTTCCCCAATTTTGAAGGAATATATCTACTGTTCTGGGATAGTGCAACCATGTTGAAATGAATACTACTGACTTCTGAACTAGCCTTTCATATGTTGCCCATTCATATGATATGATCCACCATCGTATATGATTTCAGTTTTATTTTAAAATAGCCTTTTAATATTCTTTTTATTGTCTGGAAGATCAGCAAACTCTCATCTACATCAATGTATTACAATCCTTGGTACATTTAGTAGTTGATTCATATTCAGGTTGGCTATATTGTGGGCCTTGGAGATCGACACTCGATGAATATTTTGATTGATCAGGCGACTGCAGAGGTTGTTCACATAGATCTTGGTGTTGCTTTTGAACAAGGCTTGATGCTTAAAACCCCGGAACGGGTGCGTACTTCATAGTCCTTCAATTATGCACTTAATCCATACTAAATCTGGATTGTTGTTATCACCTGTAACTGCTGGCAGGTTCCCTTTAGGCTTACAAGAGACATAATTGATGGAATGGGTGTAACTGGAGTAGAGGGGGTTTTCCGAAGATGTTGTGAGGAAACACTGTCTGTCATGCGGACAAACAAAGAAGCACTGCTGACGATTGTGGAAGTAATCACACTTCTGTCAATTTTTTGTTGTGTGAATCGAACTTCCATTTCTATAATCTCTTCCTAAAAGATGAGTGTCCTCTGTAGGTTTTTATACACGATCCTCTTTATAAGTGGGCTTTATCCCCTCTGAAAGCTTTGCAGCGTCAAAAGGTACGGTGTCTGCAGGTTTTTAGACTCTCTTATGTTATTTTCTTTATTTAATAAATGTTCAGCATCTCATGAGTGTTCGTTGACATGCATAAATTAGCACTTATCATAATTTGTCGAAATAAGTCTAAAACAGGACTGCTAACGTAAATTAGCACTTAGCATAATGAAGTAGATATCCTTTTTTGGGTTCTTAATAATGTTCCTGGTTGTCGATATTGGTTTGGTTGTAAATATGTTCAACTTGTATTACTTGATTTACATAATAAGATTACCATGGAAATAAGGATGATTACCTTTTCCCTTTTCTCCACAGGATTTGGATGATGATTTTGATACAAGTTTGGAGGAACCACAAAATGATTACCAAGGAAATAAGGATGCTACACGTGCCCTTCTACGTGTCAAGCAAAAGCTAGATGGGTATGAAGATGGTGAAATGCGTAGCATCCATGGGCAGGTATTTTGTAGGCATATCTCTGCCAAATGACTATATAAGGACTATTTCCTTTTCCTTCTTTTTTCCTTCATCCAAATTAGCTGATAAAGTGGACTGATGTATATTCAATTTTTACTGATGCAAATGGTAAAATTTGAAGTTGGAAGATAAACATGTCAAAATGACTGGTGTTACGCTTTAAGAGTTTAACCTGTTATGTGCATTGGGCATTCATCCATCTAACTGGAGAATATAGTTCTTCAATTTCCATCAATTTGTAAAAACCATCTGGCTACTTGTACGGTAATGTACATGTTCTAATATCCCATTATTTAAAGTAAAATATGATTGGTACCTTTACTTGCAGGTGCAACAACTCATTCAAGATGCCATTGACTCTGAGCGATTATGTCAAATGTTTCCTGGTTGGGGAGCTTGGTTGTAATTGGTAATGCCATTGACTTGACACTCAATGATCTTTAGGAGCCGTTAATCTACTTCGTTGGATTTCTCCTCGATTTGTAAAGTGGGACCAGTTTCTGTCCCTATTCTTTTGTTGTTAAATTTTGATGGTGAGTTGTAAAATGACTGCAAGAAAATATCTCGTATAATAAGTGGTGGTGTCTTAGTTTTTATTTCTGATGAAATTTGTTAATTGTTGGTTGAAAATGGAACAGATTAGTTGGCGTTGTTTCACAATACAATTTTTATCATATGGTTGTGTTAGAACCCGTTAAAATATAACTTCAAACTACATTTGCATATTACGCAATTAAATTGTTGCTATCTCAAACCTGTCCTAAATTACCGTAATACAATTTATTTTCTCTCATCTCTTTTTCTTTCATTTATTTTTCTCTCACCTCCAATTTGATTTCCTTTTCTTTACTAATTTTATTTTTCTCCAATCCTAACTTATCACAATTACAGCATGTATTTTCCAATACTCATCAAACATTTTCTCTTTATCTATATATATCCCTTATATTACAAATGTATCAATTTATGAGATAAATTAAACAAGATCCTTTTATTTTCACATTAATTCTCAATAAGTAATATTTAATACTCATTAATGATGTCTTTAATTCCTATTATATGGATCATAATTTTCTATATTTAATTAAAAAGATACAAAGTACAAATAAAAGTCAAAATTGCATTTACCCCAAGATCATATCACAAGTGGTATTGTATGATAAACTTTTTCTTTTGAGTTGTTTTGTTCTTTATTAGGGTTGTTAATGGGCTTTTAATGATAGGGTTTCCCAAGAGGTTGTAAAAGATCTTGTAGGAATCAAGATATTACGGTGTGTTATTGTTAAAGAAAAAATTCAATACCTTATAATTTTGATTAAGTGTTTAAACTAACGAAACGTAACAACATCATCATGATTTATTTAAAAGACGATGTTTGGAATGAACATGTCAAGTAATACATAAGTGTTTCGTTTAACAGATGATAAAACATTATGTAGTCTAAAGATAAAGAATGAAGGCTTTCAAATTATAAAGCACATATAAGTAAGCTAACCTTAGGTTGCATAAAGAGAATATAAATTTCTATTTTGTACCGCATGGAATGTCTATCTCTTTCATTTTTCAAAGAGATTCGTTGGTCAAAGGACAAAAAACATTAAAAGATCTCTCAAGCAAAATTTTAACAAAAATTTCTTGATTAGATCAGCCAAGGAGATATGAGACTCCTTAGAATGCAAATATAAAGAAATCACAAAGGAAAAGCTTGACTCAAGCTCCAACTCTAAATCAGACAAAGAGAAGATTAGTCATTGTCAAATGTTTATCATAGACAAAGATGTAAATTTGAAGTCCATCTCTAAGTCTGCCTTGATTGTTAATCCCTTATCATTCAATGATGAAGATGAAAGTGATACTCCCATAAGGAATCTCATATAAAGTGCTACACCACATATAAGGATATTTTTAAGTCTTAAAGAAATTTTAATTATATGCTTCTTGAAAATGAAATTTTTATTACAAAAAAAAACATAAATTAAAAAAAAAAAAAAAAATTTAGAAAAAAATAAAACAAAAAAAAAAAAAAAAAGTTTGAGTTTCTTTAAGGAAAATATCAAGTGGGGTAATGAATCTCTAATCCCTACCAAAGATGAAGAAAAGTGCTTAGGGAAAATAAACATATTTAGAAGGAAAGTTTATTCACCTTACTTAGTTTACTTAGTTTAGTTCTAAATAAATGTAGGACTCATGTTTGTGTTTTATATTTTATAAGATTGTTAGTGACATCTTTCCTTTTGAGGTTGTCACCTTTATAAAAGAATGAAGGGCCAAGAAGGAATCTAGCCGAAGGAGTGTTCTTACCACACCCTTACCTCATCATTACTATTTCTAGAAGATTATTTTTTGTATTTATTAGACAATACCTTATCTTTTCTAGGTTACCATTTTCCCTCTTTGGTATTTATTAAGAAAGTCTCTCCACCAATTGTAAAGGTTGATCATTTAATGAAATAGAGTTATTATGCTCAACCTTTGAGTGAATGAAAGAGTGCTCTAAAGAGTGTTCTTGAAGCTTCATTGTGTTAACTTGAACCTAGATTTAAGTGGCAGCACCACCACTTATCTTAGGTGGCTTTGTTTCTCAAGTGGCGTGACCACCTTGCTTCTATTCTCCTTCCCCTTCTTGTCTTTCCATCTTTTATTCTATTCATTAGTTTATTTTTTAGCTTATGTTCTTTACTTTTTATGTTCTTGTTTTCTTATGTTGCTTTTCCATTATCTGAATCCATCTCCTCTTCTTTCTTCTAGAGTATTTTGAAGTGAACATTTACATCTAGATAATTTAGTTATCTTAATGTTCAATGGAAATTTTCATTAGACTTTCTTAATCCATTTAAACACAAACACATTGCATTTTAAAATTTACAAGATGAATTTACATCATGGGGTAATATTTTTTTAAAAGTTTTGTTGAGAGCACTAAAACTACAAATCCTCTTTCCTCCAAGATCAAACATTTTTCATGTAGATCCAATCTAGGGCCTAGACATAAAAAACAATATAATCCTTTAAAAATTATAAAAAAGAAGCTAAGGAAAATGAGGTTACCAAAAGAGTCTATAATTCCCATCGTAGAGGAAACTAGAAGAGACCATAGAATAATTATAAGTATATATGGTTAGAATTTTGTATAAAATTATAGTGTTTATTCTTTCTCTTTCTCTCTATTATTTTTACATTTCACGTCATCATTCTCTGCTATAAAAAACAAAGGAGAGTTAATGAAAGAATATGTATAATTATAAGTGTTTTTAAACAAGTAAATTTGTAAAACTCTAAAGTTGCACCTATTTATATTTCATCATATGCAAAATTCATTAATTGATTACTTGTCATATAAAATTATAGTCTGAATATCACTTATCAAACGGTATTTGCAAAAGTGCTTCAAAACACAACTCAACCATCATTTCTTATGTTTTTTTTTTCTTATTTTCATAGTTATACTTTTTTGTTTTTCTTGTAAGGTGCTAGTAAACACTTGAATGAGTGGATTGGTTTAATTGAGGCTTATAAGCAACTGAAAATATTATTTGTTAAACAGTTGATATAACATAACTTTTAGTTATCGACAGAAAGTTAAAAAAGTATTTAAGTAATTATTTGAAAATAAATCAGTAAAATGACTAATGTATATAAAACTTATCTTCATATTAAAAGATAATAATCGGTTATTTGTTAAAATCAACATCAAAGTATTATTTTCTATTGCAACTGTCTAAATACATATTCATTCATTTGAACATTTTAAGATTACAAATCTAAACATAATCCCTATAATTGTTTTTGTTTTAAAGTTAGAATAAATTTACGAATTTATTTTCAGTGAAAACAGTTCTATAACAACATATATCTCAGATTAATCTAACCACAATCGGTAATGGTAATATATGTTTAGTTTCAAATTTAGTCTTAAAAGTTGATCAATTATATTTTCCAAACAAATGAAATATATTACAAATAATAAAAACTAAAATAATCAATATTATAAAAAAAATGAATTTTAACATAAACTTTAAAAGTAAGACCAAACCTACGTTTGACGTCAATTAGCATATTCATGAAATGGGATCCTTATCATAGAAAACTTCTCTTCATGGCAAGAGGTGATTTTCTTTGCTCCCAAACTATACACACAGAATAAAAAATCGCATACTAAGACTCTTTCTTTCATTCAAG